AGACAATTTTCATAGCGTGAAATACAGCAAAAGACGAACGAAAAGTAATCTTCCATGTGTCGGCTAAACCATTTGATAAACGTTTTGTACAAACGAAAAGCTCATAGTGTTGAAGAAATGGATGTTGCTGTCGAGGTTTCCTTTGACTGAGAATTCGTTTTAAAACCAGTTTGACCTTATTTAGCTTAAATTATAACGGAAATTAAGAAATAAAAACTCGGTAACATGGCAATAATTTGTCCACTTGAGCAAAGGGCGAAAAGTTAGAAGCATCGATGCCTTACGAACAAGAACATGTGGGTTTTTTCCGCTTCCTTTGGCTGCTTCTACTTTAATCTCATCGTTCAAACTTTCCAAGTTTTATCTCAATAAACTGAAAAACTGGTGTACTTACATTGCGTTCATTCATGAGCAGGTGCGCTGCTTGGAAAGGCCGCCATACGGTCAGAGACCTTACATGCCGTATTTCTCGTTCTCCGAGCTTGTGCTGAGAGAGGTGATATACGACCATCACGTACGTCTTAAATAATTTTTAGTTCTCGTGACAGTTAAACATTGAAAACATCCTTAAACTTGTTTACGCCAACGCAAGAATTTTGGAGTATCGTTTTGCATAACAAAAAAAAGATATCATCCAGCTGGGATACCAGCTAAAAACGTTTTCCGTCGATAAACATTTTCTTTGGTCTCGGTTAGAAAAGCTATAAAAAATTTCCTTGTTTTATTGGGTTTGATATAGAAACTTTTATTGAGGTAGGACGGCTATTTGTAATCAAATTAAAACACAAATAATAAGAAGCAAAGGATTTCAGTTGCCTTTGACGAAACGTGTGGGATCGAGTAAAGGCCGATTTAGAAGCTAATATATTCGTTAAACGCCATCTGTCATGTTGCACGCAACGTGTTTACAAAGATGTCAATAGTCTCGTTCAAACCTATGCTCTTTATAGTTATAAGATAGATACCTGGGTTTCGTTTCGTATTGCAATTAATAGTTCAAAGTACATCGTTTGTTGGACGTATTTAGTTTTAGGCGTCCAAAACTATCTGGGAAAAACACGAATTGCGTCTCGCGACATTTTAAAAATAGTCTCTTACTTAGTTCACAATGATTGTTTATTATAGAAATAGTTAGGTTTGCGCCCGTAAATAAAAAAAACATGAAGTCGAACGTTTGCTTCTGACCTACAACAGTCTGCCTGTAAGCTTTTGAAAAATTGTCAAACTGGCATTACGGTCAAACCGGACTTTCAAGCACCGTTGAGAAAAGGTTGACAAGACAATGCAGGGTTGTGGAATCTGTAATGGTTTTGAAAACAACAGTCTCACGGTTTGTCAAAGTTTATTTACTTAGTATTTTATTTTTTTTTTACACGTGAGAGCCTTTTACGAAAACACTCATAAACTAGACACGAAAAACATGATATGTACGGGGTATACGCCCACGAGGAGGGAAATAAGCATTGGGTTCAGTATTTTAGTATTAATTTAGAATCAGATTCAGTTTGCGAGAAGATAGATGACAACCTGCTGAAAATTGTTTTGTTCTTTCTAGTGCATTAATTAATCCGAATAATAAAAGCTTTATGTTTAGGAAATACAGATTTATTATTATTATTATTTTCTTTTTGGCTCTTAGCTCAGAGAAAAAATCCTTTTACTGCTTCAAATATCTTAAATAGAGGAAAGCAGATTAATCTTCGAATGTCAGATTCAGGAAATATAAATTTAAATGTCTTCAAAATAAAATTGTGCTGACGAACGCAAAGCGGATATTTTGATAAAAGCTTCGTTGACGTAACTGGAGAACCTTCAAATGGCTATCGTCAAATTGAATTCACATTTGTTGCAGTAAAAGGGGCCGGATTTGAAAACATCTTCATCTGTTGATAAGTGAAGATCAGTGTTGTAAACAAAGCAATATGTGCCTCTGATATGGTTAAAAAATACTGACAAAATCACAATATCTTCATCGATTGAAATAGCGGTGACGGGTAAATGTGATAATAGCCTCTTGTCAAGAACAATACGTGATTTGCAGCCTTCCTCACCCCCTACCCCAACCGATTGTGTCACGTTTTCAGTGGGCCATTTCCAAGTTCCAAAAACTCTCATTTTAAAACGAAGTTAAGTGCAAAACCTTTGTCGTGAAAATGAGTTTTATTTGCACGAGAATTAAACATCATTTCCATATCAATGGCTCCGCAGCGTCGCTTTAAAACAAAGGCTTAATGACCTATTGCATTGGATGATAACGACTCTATGGACGTGAGGAGGAAGACACATGGAGAGAAGTGTGGGGCACTTAGATGCTCAAAGTTTTTCACTGTCCAAGAACGTTTAACGAGTCTGACCCTAACTGAAGGTATCTCTCTGCGAGTAAAACATATGATGAATCAATAACATGGACTTTTATTTATTCAAAATGGTGGTATATAGCAGATTTCAACTCAATTCCTAGCCAAGTTAGAATCCTAAGAGTTGGTCTTTTCCTTTTGTTTCTTGAGTACTACGGGAATGCTTAGAAAGACCTTAGATAAAGTCGTTTTACTCACAAAAGAAGGCAAAATCCTGGTACTGTCCAACTAAAAAGGCGATTATTTCACGCCCAGAGTTCGTGAGAGTTAAGCTTTCTCGCCGGTCTTTTATACTCCATCCTAGACTACGAGCAGTCTTACGTTTTTCTTTAGTAACAGTATTGCATAATTTTATTTTTTCCCTCGTGGCACGTGGCTCTGCGGAAACAAGGACGACCACTAGCGGTAATTATCTGTAAGCCGTCAAGCTTTAAAATCCTGTTGTCTGCTTAAATTAAGATCGTAGTCATTTATAATTCGATTCTTAATTTTTTCGCCCCTATATACTGCGATTAGATTGACAGCCGATGATTGACACATCCTCTGATTAAACTAGACCCTACGAACATGATTAAAAGTGGGGCAAACATTTTCACACTTCAAAGGCAATGGTCTATTAAAACACAGCTAGAAAGCCTAAACGAACGTAAAATGAATAAAACAAACAAAAAGAACGTTTTAAGATTTTGAAGATTTTGTTTGTCCTATCCATTGAAAAATATTACCAGGTTTTCAGCGTTGTTCTTAACTGATCCGGGTTTAGTACCCAGCGACCCCTCCGCTCGGGTTTTAGTACCCCCGGTGAAAATCCCATTTGGAGCCATGACATAATGTAATAGGGCATTTCAGATTTGCCTCGAGCCCCGGTTTCAAAGCGAGGCTAAGTGCCAAGCCATTAATATGAAATCATATTTCATTCTCGTGCAAATAAAACTTCATTTTCAAAAGAAAGGTTTAGCACTTGCCCACGATTTGAAATTAAGAGTTTTCGGAATTCGAAAATGGTTAATTAAGTCTAGTTTCAGTTCTTGGCTAAATGTGAACTTAAATTATTTGAACTATCGCCCCTACTTCTTCCCGGGAAACTCGCAAGTCAAAATAAAATCCCCTAAAACTTTATTTAAACATTATCACCCCTTAAATTATCGCCCACGTTTGAAACAAGTATGGATGGTCCCCCCGGCTGTTATTTAAGGAAATGTGTTTCAAAATGTCAAATCAATATTAACCCATTCGCCCCTGAACCGCCCGTAACCGCCCGTGCGGATCCAGGTCCTTTCTACCCATTGTGACGTCATCAGTTTTAACGGTCAAGGACAACTTTCTTCACTAACTTGTGCAGAGTGAAGAGTAAAACTCTTCCCACCAAAATCAAGCCTACTAAATGCCCAGCAAGAGAAAAAAAAAATGAGGCAAGAAAAGCAAAAAAAGAAGGGAGGAGAGAAAGCGAAAAGTAAAAGTCAAGACTGCTGTGTCACTTTTTCTGCGCATGCCCGAACTTCGCAAGCTGATATTTTGCATCTGGATCGGAAGACCGCGAAGTGTTCGACCTGTAAACCAGTTTGCGGTAAGTTTTAGCTCTTTATAGCACGACAGTGACCAGAAAACCACTCGACTAGCTTCAAAACGCGTTTTTCGGCAAAATCTCTAGGAGCGAAGGGGTTAAAAATGTTATTTACAGAAACTGAACTGAATTGCAAAATGCTGAGGCAATCAACAAACTGAAGCTTTCATTGATCAAAATCCGATCTGAGCATGCTCGTTTACGTTGGGCTGCCGACCGCAAAAAGGGTAGGGGGATTGACAGGAGGAGGTTTTTAATCTAACTCACAATGGTCAACGTCATTATATATTGCTTCAAAAATATCCTTATTCCGATACATAAAAATGCCTTCTGCTTGGAGGCTTTGCCTACAGCTCAAAACATTCGTAGTCAAAGGTATACATTGCTAGTTGAAGAGTGATTCTCATTTACCTAGGAAATCATGCAGGCAACAGAGAAATACTTAAAAAGTTCAACCTTTTTTATTCTTTTCCACTGACGTTTTATTTCAAAGGTTTTGTTACATCATCCTAGAGCACTAATCAAGTAATTGTAAAAAAACATGAGTACTTCTAGTTCCTTTTGATTCAGAAAAAATAAGGAAAACTAGCGGCGATCGCTAATTGCGAGTTTCTGCACAATCAGAACCGTTCCTGACCAGTGTGAAGCCGTAGACGATTATAAATAATGCATTGGAAAGCAGCCTTACCCGTTATCGTTAAAAAAGGGTGGCGATGTCTTGAAAGTTAGTAGGAATAACCGGGACTAGGATAACATATACGGCCCGGAGAACCATTGTATGAGTGCAATTTGAACGCGAAAATTCGTTAAGCTCATTGCATCATTCATCGTGCTTGTGCTTTTCAGTTTCACTATAGTTTCTTTACGGAACATTCACATAAGGCAAACGACCACGGGAATGCAGGGAAATGCCAAGATAAAGTGTGGTTACATCAGGCTCTATTTTCTACTCATGACACTCGAGGAAGAATAATTATCGCAGCAACATTCAAAAGAAACAAGCCCCGGGAACGATAGGTCAGGTGCAAGAGATGAATTTCTTTTTATCTTAGTATAGGAATGGGAGCCATCTTGTTGTCTTATCTTCTTTTCGCTTTCCATAATCCATCAAACCAAGCCTTAACCTTTCTCTTTTCTTCTCGCGTCGGAACATAAAGCTCGGGTTCTTCTGTGTATGGTACCGGCTTCATTTTCTCGTTCACCGTGCTCATTGATGGCGGATAGTCTCTCAGATACCACAGAGCTTTTCTATGCCTCCGCATGTGTTTTAACACCTCGATCTTCTGAATAAGCGGCGAGTACAGCTGAAAGTTCACCTCCATGGGTTCTCCATCCACTACGTTACGAAGGGTGAAAGTTGCTCCTAAGGTGTTCTGCCAATGATTTTTAGCAATGCATATCCCTACAAACCTGTAGGGCAAAGTATGGAGACGCTAGGGTTGATTTCCAGCAGTCGCGTAATTTTTAAGTGCGTGTACACGCACGTAAAGTTTACTCGGTTACATAAAATAGAGACAAGGTATAAAAGTACTGCGCGCTTAAACGTCAAGTTGAGCGAGATTTTGTTTTTACTTTTACGCGCGATCTACCATACATTGCCTCTCTTTAAAGGTGGATTTCCACTGTCGCGTAATTTTTACGTGCATACGTGAGTAAAATTTACGTTCGCAAATAAGGGTTGATTTCTACTGTCGCATAATTTTTAAGTAAAAGTTGAACCTCGCTCAACTACACCTTTACGCGTGGACTTTCATACATTGCCTCTATTTCACTTACGATGCGTAAATTTTACGTGCGTTCGAACGGAAAAATTACGCGACAGTGGAAATCAACCCTTATTTGCGAACGTAAAATTTACGCACGTATGCACGTAAAAATAACGCGACAGTGGAAATCCACCTTTAAAGAGATTTTTAGAATCACGTTTACGGCAAACGCTATATTCAGGCTGTCAGTTAGTATTATGAGGGAGCGGTGTTTGAGTGACTCGCTCGCTACACGATAAGGTACCGAGAGTCTACTCCTTTCAGTGACCTTCGTCTTTACTAGCTTCTTCCGGCATTCTTCTTTAACTTCTACAGCTGACAGCTATCACCTACTTAACTCCCACTAACTCTTAACTCTTCTTGATTACTGCTATTAACAAGCCAAATAAAAGCGATTTTTCATAATAAGCTCGATATGTTTGGGTTAGCTGACCGTGGGAATTAAAACAAGGCAAACGCGATGTGATTGATGTTTTGGTATCGCTGAATGTACATGGCTGCGATCGGCAAGAAGCTATGAACCAATGAAAAACTAAATCGCTGGATGATAAACCCAGACAGGAACTTTAACGAGACTAATGAACCAAGGTTAACACGAGCCCGTGAGAAACACACATCTGATAATGGTAAGCGAAGAATACTCCAAAAAGGATCTGTGCGAACTAAGCATTAATTCAAGTACGAATAAAATCACAAGATGAAAAACAGGAAAACACCCGTGAGGACAAAATCACGTTTAACCTTGTACCACTTAATAGAACAAAAATGAAACTTAACTGAAAGATGAGACAAATTTTAAGGTGGATATTGCCAATGTTGCACATTCAAAAGATTCAATAAAATTCAAACTACAATGTGCTAGTCATGGAGGTATGTAAGGTACGCATTAATTTGGAAAAATTAGCATAACGTCAAAACAGTGAATGTCGTAACGCGGATTTTTGGCCGATTAGTAGGCTAGGTTTGTCTTGAAATTTCAAGGTGTTTGCAGTGATATCAATGGTAATAAAAGTTTTAGACATTATTGTGTACATCGTGAAGATTATGTGATGAGGTTCAAAGAGAATTCTGTCGAGCCGTACGGTTCCAGAGATGTACAGAACAGAGCTAAAATTCAAAATTTAGAATGAAGTTGCTCTAAGACAGGTGGTGAGAAAACAAGATTAGTTAGTTTTCTGGATCGCCAAAAATCCCAAGCAGTGAAAAATGATATTAAGCAGCATTCTAAGGCAAGTTAGCATAAATCTGGGTTATTTAGAACTTTTTTATTAAACAATTTATCACGCCTATAATTTTTATTTGAATTCAAACATACAGAATTTTTTACTTCTCACGGAGGTTATTTGCTAAACACCACTCTGGAAGTTAATGGTGTCGGATTTTCAGTAATAGGTCTAGATCACGCAAAATTCGGCTTTTATCGATTTCAAATTTTTTTGTTTATTGTTGCCATAGTGATATTGATTCAACTTAAAACTCTATTTTGACAAACTTCAATCCAAAGTCAGTCGGTGGTGAAAATTTCATAGCGATCGGACAAACATAAAATTACTTTTTAGGCGATCAAAAAATATCGGTATGGTCCCCGAAAAACTGTATCGAAACACTTTAAATAACCTTGAAAATACTTTTCAACATTATGAAATAACTCAAATGACATACCTGACTTTTCCTTTAGCTATATGAGGATCGCCTCTGGTAACTGCTACTATACTCCCTACAGAGAAATCTTTGGCATCAAGTTTCTTCAGCCTGTGGTAACAGTCCCTTTGCTCCAGGTATGTCATCACATCTGTTTTGGCTTCTTCTGGAGAATCAGGGAAACCATTAGGCCAATCTTTTTCCTTCCAGATGAAACGTGGTTCGGGTGTTGTTCCATCCAGTGCAACTTTGGCATTTGGCAGAGTCTTATAAATGGGTTTCACACTTACTTCGGCTGGATTTTTCTTGTACCATTGGTCAAAATTCACCTTAATCTGAGAGCAAAGAGGAGAAATGAATACACTAGCAAGTACATGATGTTATACAGAAAATACTGCTGCACCCTCAAAACTCTCCCCATAGAGAACTCTACAAAGTGCGACCTAATAAAGCATCCTGTTTACATATTTTAGCTACAACAGTCCTGAGTTTCCTGGAGAAAAGGCACAGCTAAAAAAAACAGTTTTACAAGCTGTTTGGAGTCTTGAATTTTAATTTCTCACATTTTTTAAAAAAATTTTTTATATACGGAGTGGAAAGACTTGTGGAGACGTGCCATGACACCAAGACCCTGGTTTAAAAATCCTACATTTTGCTGCAAAACGTTGAAGATTCTGAGATGGAAAGAAACACATACAAACAACTCTTCAAGACTTGCCCTAAAAGCTACCAAGATTTTGAATTTGGATTCTCAGTCCTATAATTCCTTCACTATCACCTCCCTACCCCTTGTATATCACTAACCTTTGTCTTTTTGGCCAGACCAGTATTTTCAGTTTTTTGTTCAGGTAACGTTTCCACAGTTTGATCTTGCAGAGTCTTTTTAAGTTCCTGTATCTTAACTGTTCTTGATTCTAATTTAAATGACAAAATAAATAAACAGAGGTAATAATAAATAAAATAAGTCTATAACATATTGTTGCCTGAATATTCTACTCATGAACTTTTGTTAGGCGGAACACCTGATGCAATGTGAAGAAATTTGTTCATTGCTGATGAGCAATTTGAGCGTTACTTTGATGTGATCTTTGCTCAATTTGGCATTGTTCTTATAGGATTAAATCTTGCTTATGCATTATGTATCTACTATAATATTGCAAATAAAGCATTTTAAGATGAAGCACTTTAATCCTTTCAATCACTGCTTCCATTTTCAGCTGGTATCAGCTAAGCGACAGTGTTCATGCAGAGTTTTTATCATGCTAGCGACCGCATTACTTATTTATAGTGCTCATTTAGCTGGTATTTTTAGCAAAAAATTGTCTCATCTGATGCTGTGTGTTTTGGTTACCAATCAGGTGCTACTTGCAGATATTTCTAAGTTTATAGAGGGTGAACATAGACAATAGTATTGATCGTTAAAAAATTTTGTTCGCTGATTGAGAAACTGGTTTGCTAGCTTGGTTATGTAAAAAGACATGTAGGTTAATGTTTATTTTAAAGCATGACAGGGTTGTAAATCTTATTTTTATCAGCTGCAACATATACCGGGGAAGTAGCCGAGATAATGAAATATGGGGATTTACTACGTCCACTTTGAAATCACTGACTATCCGTGCAATCTGATTGGCTCTCAGCAGTGTCATTTATTCCTAAATCACACCATTTTTTGCTCTAAATCACATCTGTTCCAAATTGCATCATTCATATTCTAAATTGCATCATTTCTGTTTTAAATCACACCATTTTTGTTCTATATTGCATCATTTCAGTTTCAAATACAAAATGAGATGTAAAAGCCTTTTTGTTTCAGCTTTTTAACAAACCGGCTACTTGATCAATAAAATATTAGTACTGGCTAAATTCTGTGATTTCAAAATGGCTGTAATAAAGTGGTAATTGAACTTCGTGTCATGCAATTTTGGTCTGAAATCATACTTGTGATTCCAAATCACGCTTATGATTTCAGACCAAATTTGCACTCCACTCAGTTCAATTACCATTATTTACAAAACAAGAATGCTCTTAGTAGCGTTGAGTCTTGCTTGCTTGGAGATGAGTTTTGTTGACAAAGGCCCTGGTGCCATTATACTACTTTTTTGTTTGGAAATACAAAACGAGTGGTGTATGTCATAATGTATATACTCAAAAAGTAAAAATTGCAAGGAGAGACAGGCTGCACATCTTAGCCTCAAACCGGTGTGAAACCTTTGAAAACCTTCTACATATTGATATTGCTCCATTGAGGAGTACTCTTTCAGGGATTCTACTCTTGAAAAATTGAACGATGATTTTTATCGGTATTAGGTGCCCATGACTCTGTCAGTATAAATATACATAGCTTCTTTGTACAAGACCAAGATATGGCTCGGTACAGTATATGTTCAGCACAGGAAAAAAGTGTAAGTTGAACAGAACCTTATACAACACACAGTTAATTCAGTTCGCCCGTATTCCTGTTGAATTTGTTGTCCGTTTTATAAGATATCAATATCACATAAAAGTAATGACATTTTCCATAGCTGCTTAGTATCTACTTTTAATATCTCCGTACAGTCTAAGAGTACAATGTTTAGAGTTGTACACAGCATGCATTTTAGATAGATGGATAGATAGATAGATAGATAGGCAGATAGACAGACAGACAGACAGACAGACAGACAGACAGACAGACAGAAAGATAGATAGATAGATAGATAGATAGATAGGTAGGTAGGTTGGTAGGTGGGTAGGTAAGAACCTTAGTTTATGGCACGATAAAAAGATCAGCATTGCTGGTGGGGTCGTGCATACAACAATTACAAGAAAAATAAGGAGTACTGAAAGCAAATGTACACTTAAAAATTAGAAACTGTTAAAAGTTTTTTCTTGTATTACAGTATCACCAGGATAAAGCGTTTCATTTTCCCGGAAAATTTCACTTTCTCGTCAAAACAATCACTGACTCAGACAGACTCGGATTAGTTTACTTGAAGTTAGCGTTCAGTACAGCGAACGGGGTTATGTTCTGTGAAATTTATCTACAGTCTGCGGCCCACATCATCACTGATCCACGATTTATTTATTTGTTTTATTTTCAAGTTCTTTTTCACCGATCCTTAATCCCTGATTTCTCGATCCTCGATCCTTGATACTGATTTTCCAGTAAACCTTGAAGTTTTGCTCATTAAGATTATTCTTTTTTTTCGACCACTGAAGTGATCAGTTGTTCCAAAATAATCGACGCTTTCAAGCCATAGAATTCTTGGACCAACCCGTTCCGGAAAAGCTCGATATGGAATTTCTATTAACTATGGACATGAAGTGCTACAAGTAGAGTGTGCGGTTGGTCAAGTTCAAAGCTACCCGTATAAACACATCCGTGACATGTTAGGGTGGATTTCCACTGATGCGTTTTTGGCTCCGTACGTTAACGCACGTAAATTTTAATCACGTAAATCAAATAGAGGTAAGACATAAAGTATTGAGATTAAACGTCAAATTAAGCGAGTTTCTACTTTTACGCTTGCATAATTGTACGTGCAGCCTTTCATACATTGCCTTTATTTTATTTGCGAACGCAAATTTTACGCACGTACGCATGTAAAAATTACGTGACAGTGGATACTTCATATCTCAAGTATTTATGAAGTGCAACACGACTTCACATCGTAACAACTGCGAATATCTATCAGTTAAATACATAAAACAAAGTGAATCTATTTAACCATACATTTCCTGTAATTGCGACAATATTCTGAGAAACGTAACGCCTTAAAAAGCCACAAAGTCCTGAGGATTTCCCCGCTCTAATATTTTCTCATCTTGCTTGGGGATGTGCCTGCATGTCGTGCATAATTACACGAAAATCAAGGGCCTCCATTCGAGGAAAATTACGTCATTGCCAAACTTACATGCGTCATTTTAGTCATTGCCGAAATAAACTGCATTCTCATCGCGAGACTCATTTCCATACAATGAAAGTCGTCACGATTCTTATCCCCAGTTTTGATGGTCTTCGCTAAGAACGTCGGGCCTACAAACTAGGTCCGACGAAAAAAAAAAAAGACTGCATTTTAAGAGTCTCGCTCTGCTCAAGCAAGCGAGACTAATAACTATTAAAGATAGTCACCCATTCTGATTTGTTAAAACCTATGGTTTATTGTGCTGGTAAACTCATAGAAAACTCAAAGTTATTTTATAAAAGCAATAGACCCCACTTTCTGTGGGTTTACCGGTGTGATAACCAACTTGGGATGTTGGGAGAACACTCAAAAAGCTTGTAAATCATGATGGCTCGTGATTTATAAGCTTTTTGAGTGTTCTCCCAACATCCCAAGTGGGTTATCACGCCGGTAAATCCATAGAAAGTGGGGTCTATTGCTTATATAATATATAATTGAAGTAATTGTCTGGAAGCAGCTTACACATGCACAGTGCAAATCAAAACTGCCTTCCCCCTTTTTAAAGTGTCCGCCAAATATATTATTAATTACTGGCAGGTGGTAGGTGGGTGTGAAAAGAGGATGATCAAACTATGTAAAACTCCACTCAGATATTAGCGTAAATTGTGGTCTTCAAAATAATAGTGACTTGGTTTTTCAAGCCCGCACCATTTTCTTAAAATGAGTAAGTAACCTACCTTTGGAAGCCTGGATTTTCTGAGATCTTCTTTCTGAAAGAGGGATATTTTCTAAACGCTTCTGAAGATTTCGGAACACTTTTTCATCGACGTAAGGGGACAGTGATTTTAATCGGTTTGCCAACCTGGACGCCATTTTGATTTTTCCAGCGGCGTGGATAGAGCCCAATCCCGCGCGTTTTGTCTTTTTCATTTCTTTCGTAGTAGCATACATGAAAAGACGAGGGGAATGCTGGGAATACGTCGTCCGAACGCCATGTTGCTTTCTTGACACTGCAACGAGAAGGTTTATGATCGGATGAAGAACATTTTGCCTTCCGTATTTGATATCAATTACAGTCTAATTTAGAAGCTCTTGAACTTAACAAGCAATCATGCCGCGAATTATTATCAAAGGTGGTGTTTGGAGAAATACAGAGGTATGTGAAATATAAGCTTCAATAAGCTCAAGCAACAGTGTAAGTTTGCACACTTTAATTTGTAATCTCAGATAAAAATAATATGGGTCATGGATCATGAACGCGCTCGTAAGAACTAGTTTTAGTTGAATGATTTACATGTATCAACCGCCCAGTACTCAGGACAACAATAGATCATTTAGACGTCGGTAATGAATTTAAGATCAATCAGCTGTCATTATACTTTATCGTTGTGTGAATCACTCTTGAATATCTTACAGTGTAGCTGGTTTTTTTTTCACAAAAAATTGGAATAAAATTGCGTGATTGTATTCTGTTTTACCCAAAGGATGAAATCCTCAAAGCTGCTGTTATGAAATATGGAAAAAACCAGTGGTCTAGAATTGCATCCCTGTTGCATCGTAAGTCAGCAAAACAGTGCAAAGCTAGATGGTAAGTTTAAATGTGAAGATAACAGGTCTATCATTTACCACTCTTCAGAATAATAGAAAAACAGTTCAAACTGTAGTGGACTGTTCATTGGAATAATTTTAAGGCTGGTTTTCACTAGCGATGGAGTCTGAGTCGGAGTCGTAATCAGAAGCATAGAACTTTACGATCTAGAGCAAACAGCGTTCTGCGTTTGTTTACAATCAAGTGAAAACTGGGTGGTCAGAGTCACAAGCTGAAGTAGAAGAACTAAACTAATCACAAAGCATGGGAGTGTGCATTGTGATTGGTTTATCCTTCCACTTCTGCTTCCGATTCTGACTATCTGGTTTTCACTAGGGGTGCGTTTGATTGGGAAATCTGGATTTAGATTTTAAAATCCAGTTTTTGGATTTGCAATCGAACTCGAAATCCGAAAACAGATTTTGACGCTGAGATATCTGTTTTTGGATTTTCATTTTTACTGTCGATTGGGAAATCCGAAAAAGGATTTGAAAAACTGTCCTGAAGAACAGCGGTCTTGCATGCGCATGCATACTAACAGCAAAGACCACTGTTCACGAGAATAGTTTTGCAAATTCTTTTTCGGATTTCGTAATCGAACAACAAAAAGGGAAATCCAAAAAATCCGGATTTGGATTTCTTAATTGAAATCCACCCGTTTTCGGATTTCGCGTTCGATTGGGAAATCCGGATTTGGATTTTGAAAATCTAAATCCGGATTTCCCAATCGAACGCACCCTAGATCATAAGCAACTTACAACTTCGCTTATGACTCTGACTCTGTTGCTAGTGAAAACCAGCCTTTATCTGCAGCTTCTGGTTTATCCCTAGTTTGGAACATTTTGACTTTATTGTTATGTTGAAAAGTAAGTTGACAGTCCATTGGGGGTCTGGATTCTCAATTTTTGATTCTTGCGTGAATCGAGAGTTGAGAATAAGGTATACAGTGACTTTTCACGTAGTCAACAGCTTTTTCCAGTGAAAACTTACATGTAATGCAAAATATCTCAAAGATCAATATGCAGTGATGATTGCTATTGCTGAGGTCTACAATAGTATGCTTGAGCTTTATAAATTCTTTCTCACCTAGATGGTGCACCTAGATGTGGAAAAATGGTTGTCCAATGGGCGACCTAGTTGAAAAATTAATTTCAAACCCTGATAAGTATGTTCACCTTGTTGTAGAGTGTTGTCAGTTTCATCAGGTAATTAACTTGTCCAGGGAAAATGACGGTGAGCGAATTGATTTTTGGGTGAAGTGACTGCAATTCTATCTGTAAGAATGAAGTCGCTGATAAATTTGTGGTTGATTTGTTGAACCGTTCATGCAGTTAAAGTATGGTGGAAATCTCGGTACCATAAAATGTTGTTCGAATCTTCCCAAGTTTTCTAGAATAGTAGTGCCAAATATTCAAACCTGTTTCTTTAGGGATATTTAACCCTCTTGTTTTAAATTTCATTTTAGGTATGAATGGCTTGACCCCAGCATTAAAAAGGTGAGAAACAATTTTAGTGTAAAGGCTCATAGATTTAAACTGAACACTTTCAACCTCATTGCCATGTGTCCTGCTTCTTGAGGGTAGTGGTAGTGCTACGCCTGGGAAGCTGTTATAAATACATGGTTGTTTGCCATTTTTACCTTCAAGACAAAGGTTTTAATATCTTTGAAAAAGATACATGACTATTAAATCATCAGCTAGAGAAACAGAATGGAGTGGTTAGGGGGTGAGAGTCCAAACTAACATTCTCTAGATTTCGATTTTAAAACAATATAGCATCAGGCCCAAAGGGTTACCATTTTTGTTGTCTGTTGGTGATGAAAATTGAGAAAATGTGTTAATATCTTCAAGTAGGCTGAACCTTCATACACTGTGCATGTACATGTGAGCATTATGCATTGTTATGACATCCTTCCCTAAACAGTATTGGTAGGTGCAATTGTATCAGATTTTACTGTAAATACTTGTTTCATTTGCAGACTGAGTGGAGTCGCGAAGAAGATGAAAAGCTACTTCATCTGGCAAAGTTGATGCCCACACAGTGGAGAACTATTGCACCCCTTATTGGTCGCACTGCTTCACAGTGTTTAGAACGATATGAGTTTCTCCTGTAAGTGATTCACTTCCTTTTTCTGATTAGAATGTATTAATTTGTTTTTCCATTGAATTGCTTTTACACTCGAACCTCCACTAACAGCCACCTGTCTTCAACAGCCATATTTTTGGCTTACAGTCCATACATTCACTCTTGTTTCAACCTCTCCCAGTCTCTACAATGGCCACCTCTCTTGTCTACAATGGCCACTTCCTTCTGTCCCTAAGGTGGCCATTGTAGAGAGGTTCAACTGTCTTATTCTACTGTAGTATCAATTCTTTCTCCCTCCTTGGTAGATGGGGTTAAATTTGCGTACTATGTACATTTGTGGGTAATTAATGCAATCAGTTACATGTACCACCGCAGTAGATTTTATGTCATGTCCCATTGAAGGTTTAACCAGTTGTATTTTTCACTAAATTGACACATCACTGAATTAGCTGTAATAGGTACTTTGCAGGAAGTCATTCATGTCTGAAAAAGGCTTATTCCCCTTCCTTGCCATAAAATTTTGTGGGGCTCAGAGAACAGCCACTGCACAAAGCTTAGCCATTTATAACGTACATTTGCCTTGTCAATAAGTAGTTTTGTTCATGGTATTGAAACAAAGTACTTTATGGTATTTTTCAGAGATCAAGTTCAAGCGAAAGAAGGAGAAAAAGATGAAAGTGAGGATCCACGCAAACTTCGGCCTGGAGAAATTGATCCAAACCCAGAAACAAAACCAGCTCGTCCAGACCCGATTGATATGGATGAAGATGGTAGGAGGTTTCTTTTGTTCAGTTAGACCTTTATCCTCTGTGGACATCAATATGGCTTTATAGCCTGCATCACAGATGTAATTTAACCTCAGTTAATAACGTCTGCAAAGCTGGGGGGAGATCCCTGTTCTGGGCCCCCAATGGATTCAGTGAATTATCGGAAATGCATTTCCAATTTCCTTTCATCCTGATTGGCAAGTCAACAATGGCTTTTTGTAACATGCCAATCATTGTGCTAACTCAAATCCTGGTACACAGGTGGTGGCCTACAATGGAGGACAAAAGAACTGGGGACTGTGTGAAAAAGCCTTCCAAGTAATTGTTACGTAGGACTCTGCTCTTCATAACAATTTTTTGATGGGGTTTAAGTTCATTGTGTTTTCTCCCCGCTCGACCCTCCCCCCCCCCCCCCCCCCCCCCAAATTTTTGGCGTTAAAAAACCCCCCTTTTCCCCCCTTTTTCTCCAAATTTAAATTTTTTTTGGGGGGGGGGGGGGGGGGTTTTTTTTTTATAAACTTTTCTCGGAAGGGCCCCACACCTTTTTCCCCCCATCCACAAACAGGGGTTTTCCCAGATTGAAATCAACAAAATGTGTTTTTTAAAGTCCGAAAACATTGCGGAAAACATAGTCGGGTGACTAGGGGGGGGGACAAAAATGGGGAAAAAAAAAGGGGGGAGCTTGTTAAAAAGCCTTTGTATATTATTGGTATTGTAGCCTTCGTTTTTAATAAAATTTTTTTTTGGGGGTTAATTTTTTTTTTTTTTTCCCCCCCCGCACCCCCCCCCCCCCCCCCCCCAGCAATGTTGTGGCTTAATAAAGCACTCATTTTCACCCATTTTGCTCAAAATTCAACTTTGTTTGGGGTGGGAGGGGAGGGGTTACTAGTTTTACTAACTTCACTGGAAAGGTCCCAACACTTTTGACCTCCATTGCAGAACGAGGATTTTGGTGCTGTTTTGCAGAGGTTCTTAACTAACTAAATTTAAGTTTTTTCTGTTGCACAGCTTACATTTATATGGCTTGGTGACGCTGTTATCTTTGATTTTTGATCGTTAGAACTGGAGATGCTGTCTGAGGCAAGAGCCCGTTTGGCAAACACTCAAGGAAAGAAGGCCAAGAGAAAAGCAAGAGAGAAACAGCTTGAAGAGGCTAGGTGAGGTTCTGTTACATGACTTGTTAAGTACCAAAAAGTATGCAGCTGTACAGAAGAGTGACAAAAAGTTACAAGTAAGAAATGTCTTTAAGTTGAAAACTCGACAATTTTTCTTTACTCACTTTATTTTCCTGTTGGCTTTAGCTCAAGAAATCTATAGAAACATGCTGTACCCAGGGTTGTCAGAAAGTTTTGAAGTAGACGGTTGAGTTGTCAAAGTAAGCGGCCAGTCCAGGGATAGTTTATTTAGAAAACACCATCTGTAAAGAAATGCTAAGCAGAGTAGCCGGCCGATACAAACCAAGAAGGCAGCAATTTTCGCTGGCAGCCGGCTACTTTTGACAACCCTGTGTATCAATGACTTAAGATGACTTAGATGCTTAAGACGACTTTTACATGTACATCTAGTATAAAAGCAGTGAACAATACTTACACATCAAACATCTTCTGATTAATTTTTAACATCTTCTGTTAAGTACATCATTCAGATGCGCTTAAATGTCTCAGACATTACAATGGGTTTAGTTTTAAAACAGAATGCTGGAAACTGTGACATCTTTATGACCAATTCATCCAGAGAGGACTGGAAAGAGTTAGTGTTTTGTCTTTTTTTTCAGAAAATGTAAATGTCATCTACTTTTATGCATCCTGTTTTTACACCAGTCAGCTTAAACATCTGTGACTTCAATTGTTCTAGAGGACTTTAAGACACTATCTCCTGCATAAAAATGACCATTTTGTCCATAGACTAAAATACACCTGTAGTTGCAACCAAAATTTATTGTGTATAACGATGTCTTCATAACTGAATCAAGTTAAAATGATTAAGAACTTACAATGTTTGAAGCGCTCAAGAAATGAGTTGGTGAGTTATTGGGAGACCACTAACTATCCGTAGTTTATCAGTGGTGCAAATTGCATTTCAGGCGTCTTGCTGCTTTACAGAAAAGAAGGGAGCTTAGGGCTGCTGGTATTGAGTAAGTAACCATGTTGTGGTTTATACATTTTCTTAGTTTTCCTGTTATTTTAAGGAATTTTTCTGTGTCAGTACCTGACCATTATCAAATTTTCTATTTCTTGATAGTGGTTTAACTGTCTTTGCTCTTGCACATGTATTTAAAAGATTTTGGTAATAATTTGTGAGTTAAGCATAACTATAGGATCAAGAATATAATGATTATTCTAATTGGTAACTAAAGCTCATTTCAGAATTTTGTACTTCTACTGATTGCAGTAAATAGGTACCTTAAGAAAGTTTAATTCCTCTCCAAAGTCTATTCAAGCATGTTCACTGTAGAATTCCAAAAATTATTCCCTTTGAATATAAGGCCCCCAAGTGAGGAATGTCTCCACTATCCTCAAAAGGCTTTCTCAGCAAAATTCCCCAGAACAAATGAGCTAAAGAAGCCTTTGTAAAAATGTACCTCTAGCTGGAATAACCTGTATGCACTACATTGAATTTTTTTTACTTTTGCATGACTCTGAGTTGACTTTCAAGGTAGTAAAATAAATTCATTTCAAATCCCACGTGTTTTGAACAGAATCAGGAAGCATCGCAAGAAAAGGAGAGGAGTAGATTACAATGCTGAGATTCCATTTGAAAAGAGACCAGCTCAAGGTGCATATCTAGAATTTATTAACTGTATTTATTTATTTACTTTTTGGTGAATGTGCTTTCAATCTTTCACACTAATTTCTGCATGTCTGGTAAGGATATAAGACCAATAAACAAGCTTTTTTTTCAACAGGTTTTTATGACACTGGTGAAGAAGAGCTTCCAGACTATCAACCTGATTTTAAAAAGCTTCGCCAGGATCACTTGGATGGCAAAATGAGAGATGATATCGAACAGGTTATTTACAGTAACTCTTTAACACTGTATTTAACATTCTCAGCTTCAACTACATTTACAGTTTAGTAGGTAAATACTTATTTTAAATGTTATTTTAAACCTTCTTTCATTAAGTCTCACATTTTTGTTTGCAGCAAGAAAGAAAGGAAGACAAAAAAAAGATGAAAAAGAGAAAGGAGGATGACCTTCCTGGAGCGGTCATGCAAATTAACAAGTAAGACATACGCTGTCACTATTATTTTCATCCCTCATCCCTATTGCTTGCAAGATAATCGTTCACAATGTGTTACTGCATTGGACTGTACATTTTTTTAGCTACAGGGTCTTAAACTACTTGTTAATTTGTGCATTAGGCTCTGTTCAAACTACACAAAATTTTTTCATTGTCATTGTTTTTTTAAAAAAAAAAAAAAAATCTGTCAACAGAAAGCCATTTCTAGAGCAAACAATTTTTTTCACCCACCAAAATTTTTTCAAGAGTAACCAAACTTCTAGAAAGTTTGGAGGCTTACAAAGTTTTGTCAGGAGACAAAATCCTTTGCTCCTTGACAGCTATCCTACATTGGGTCATCTTATTCCTCAAACATGACCAGTTATAGTTCCTTGAACTATGACATTTTTGGTTGCATGAAAACTTTCCAGTTCCTCAGGTGCGAACAAGGGTACAAAAACGAAAAACTGGTAACTACAAAATTTCTAATTTTTTTACAAACGCCCAACTTTATTTTTTGTTGTAGTGCAAACAGGGCCTTAGTACTTTAAACTTGATGCTAATGAACTCTTTTGTTCTAAGGATGGGTTTATGTTACAGTTTTAGGCAGCAACTAATAATATTATATTATAGAAGGCACAACAAGAAAGTACCATAAAATTTCGAAAATATGCCCCTCCATGTATAAGGCCCTCCAAATATAAGCCCCCCAAAATCGTAATGCAAAAAACCCGCCGTTAAATCGCCCCTCCAAATATAGGCCCCCCAGGGAGCTTGTACTTGGAATTTGCCCTTGAATACAAAGTAAAACAAAGCAAAAAATGGTAAATTTCCTTCCCACTACAAGCTAGCCCAATCGATTTTGAAACGCAAATTTCCCTCTGTACATAAGCCCCTCCAAATGCCCCTCCAAAAATAAGCCCCTCAAAAAGGGCCTTTGAAAAATATAAGCCCTGCGGCTTATTTTTGGAATTTTACGTTAACAGGCAAATTTTTTGTGGCAGTGAGGCACACAACTCTAGGGGTAAGGGTAAACAAACTCGGGGAGGAGCCCGCCTGAAGCTTTACAATAGACTTGACCATTAACATTACTTAGCAGTGTGCAAAGAAAGTACGGTTGAACCTCCATCAAGCAGCCAACTTCGTGGTACCAGCAAGTGGCTGCTTAATGATGGCTGGCCACTGAGTAGAGGCTGGTCATAAACTCAGCTTAATCTTTAGCAGAAACATCACATTATCTTGAAACAAACGCTCGCCTGAAGAAGCATTGCTAACTCAGACTGTATTTCCCTCATCATATTCTTAATCCTTTATAATAATAATCATCATCTTTATTGAGGAAACTTTTTCATAAAAGATATGGTTTTCAAAAAGGACCTCCAAAACTAGATATTAAGAAAGTACGATTGAACCTCCATCAAGCAGCCAACTTTGTGGTACCAGCAAGTGGCTGCTTAATGGAGGCTGACCAGCATCAATTTTCTCCCAATGATATCCATACGTTGTCAAGAGCCTAGGTTATGAGAAGTAATAAAATGATCACCTAAGAGAAAATCGCTGTGATCTTTTATCAAATTTTCTCAACTCATTCTTTAAGTTTGGAGAATTTGTATGTGGATATTGGGGCTTAAAGGGTTAAAATAAAGCCAAACTAAGGGTATCAAGCAATAGACCTTTTTACCGATACGGTGGCCATATTGAATTAATTTGTTTTAAGGAGTATTATAGGATGCCCAGGGGGCATGAGCACATTTTGTTTGTATTTTCGAGCGCTTTTCAGGACGTTTTTTCTTAAAGTTTTTTTAGAATAAGATTGTAATGGGAAAAAAGATCCTTGTGCCGTGTTTGGATGTAATAATGATCGCCTTTTTCTAGTTTAGTATTAGAAATATGGTCTTTCACTGTAGATTTCTCTGGAAAAAGGTGATCATTATTACATCCCAACACGACTCAAGGATCTTTTTCCCATTAGAATCTTATTCTAAGAAAACTTTAAGAAAAAATGTCCAGAAAAGCGCTCGAAAATACAAACGAAATGTGCTCATGCCCCCTGGGCATCCTATAATACTCCTTAAATCGAATTAATTCAATATGGCCACCATATTGGTAAAAAGGTCTATTAATGGCCACTTAATAGAGGTGACAACAATGGGAAAACTCTCACTGGGAGGGCCAAAAGTTAACCGCTGCTGCTTAACAGAGGTGGCCGTTTAATAGAGGTTTAATTTCGCATTCTTTTCTACAATTGTTTCAGAACTTTGGTTACTGACCGTTTAACGGAGGTTTTGACTGTGTTGTCTGATAGCTTGGGCCCGAAGCTAGTAGTGATTTGTTAGCGTAGGGCTAACAAATCTTTGCATAAAAAAAGTCCTTGGTGTACATGTACCAAATGATATTCTCCGCACAAGCTGACATATTCTGCCAGTCGCTTGGTCTTTTGTTATGTTGAGGTTCCACTGCACTGAGTGGCTTTCCAGTTCCTATCATCACTGCAATTTGCACAGTACGTGTAGATGTACTCTGTACAGCTGTTGTGTCTCAAGATAGTGTAATAATATTGTTTTATCCTTGTAGGCTTAACAATCCTGACTCAGTGAAGAAGCGTAGCAAGCTTGTTCTTCCCAAACCACAGATATCTGATACAGAATTGGAAGAGGTAGACCCTTTGTTCTCACTGATGCAAAATTAATATTAAAAAATATTATCGGAGTAGGCTTTTCCTGAATGTTTCCAGTATGAAGTACTGCTTGGTCCATCAATGGTTATTCCTCTAAGATAGTTGTCTGCGCTATATTTGCTTAGTATAATTTAGTTTAACACAGATATTTTCAGACATTCAAGTAAAACACAGCAGAACCATCTGGGCTGAGTTGTTCAAAGCTGGGTTAAGATAACCTAGGGTTAGTGCGAGATTTTAATTCAGATATGAAAGCTTAAAAAGCAATTTCAGTTTTAATTCTTTTTGTCTAAAAGATGATGATTGGAAGCTCTAAAAATAACAGAGAAAATTATCCTCGAAAATGCTTCAGAACACAAGAAAAAGAAGCCCAGGTTAAATTTAACCCCGGGTTAAGCGCTAACCGGCCTTCGAACAACTGGGCCCTGGAGGATAGTTGCTTCCTTAGAAAGGTTTACATGGAAAGTAAAACCCCGCGACTAAGTACCTGGATTTTAAGAACCTGTTAGGCTAAAACGCCCCAGTTAAGTCCCCTCTACATGCATATAAAAACCTGTTTAGCCTAGAATTTAAAGCTGGTTCTTATTTTCTAAAATCTATGAAAAAATTCTGTACACTTGAGCAAAGAAGATAAGTCAACATTCAGAATCCTCTTTGGAGACATAGGTGCCTTATTACTCCAACTGTAATGTAAACGCCAATGTTTAAATCAAATAAAATTGTTATTTATACAATTACAAATTAAATACAAGTCTCCTTTTAATGTTTATTTCTACACAACTTCTAATTTGGTATGCAGATTTTGTCTTAGGATTAAGATAAATCAGAAATACTGTTACCTATAATTTATTGTATTTTTTTTTCCAGAAAATTAGAAACTATTTAACAACCTAAATAGCCTAAACTTTTGCCAACTACCATTTATATAAGAACCTGTTCAGGCTAACTTAAAAAAATAAAGGTTCTTAGTTGCGGGGTTTTACTTACTGTACATCTTGTAACGGTGTTGACTGTCAGCAAGTTGACTGTATTATTATTTTGTTACACTGTAGATTGTGAAAATGGGCCAAGCAAGTGAATCAGCTCGTCTGTCAGTAGAGGACAGTACCATGGCATCAAATGCTCTTTTGAGTGAGTACTCAGTGACTCCTGCCGCAGCTCATGCATTGCGGACTCCGCGTACCCCTGCAGAGCAGGACACGGTATTACAGGTAGGGTGAATCAACAACATACGATTCTCTGGAATAGACCTTATTCACGATACTCACCATCTTCGCACGCGCAAATTGATGGGATAAAAGCAATCTCACGTGGCATTTCAGGGGGCAAACAAGTGTTAAAATTTGCCGATACAAGAAATCGCGGTCGACTTTGTTTATTCTAGACAACAGAAAAAATGAACTGTTTCTGCCAAAGACGATAATGGCAAATGATGGGTGGAAGTGATTGTTTCTACTTTTTTGGATGTAGTAGCGTTTGTAGACGTTCCCACAGCAAGCAATAATAATATTAGGGACCTTAAGCAACAGCGACGACGACGGCAGTGAATACATCACTAAAAAACTGAATTTGCGTCCTTTCAAACTTAATCGCGTCTATTTGAAGCCGCACAATTCGTCAAATTTAGGCGAGTTTTGCTGGAGTTGAATTCGTAACGACTTTATCCATATTCAAATAGAGAAAGGATAATTTCTCATCGTATGTCCACATCCTCCACAAAACGTCGCCTTGGGAGGTTTCACGTCGTAGTCGTGCAGTGGACGTCAAAGAAATGTACTAAAAAGCGTGATGCACGTGCAGAGCAGTTGTTTTCATATAAAACCAATTGTTTGTTGTCGTTGTCGTTGTCGTCGTCTTCGTTGTTGCTAAAGCTCCCTAATTATTTTTTTCTCTTTACAGGAGGCTCAAAACATCTTGGCATTATCGAATGTGGACACACCCTTGAAAGGCGGCATGAACACACCTCTGACAGAGAGTAATTTTGAAGGCGTTACCCCTAAACATCAGGCAATTCAAACTCCTAATATGATGCTTACAACTCCTTACAGAACTCCACAGGGAGAAGGTACAGGTAAGATAGACTATTTTGGATCTCCATGCTATGTTGGGAAGCAAGAATAGCGTAGTGTTGAGAGCACTCGCCTCCTGCCCATGTGGCTCGGGTTCAAATCCCGGTGTCGACGCCATATGTGGGTTGAGTTTGTTGTTGGTTCTCGCCTTTGCTCCGAGAGGTTTTTCTCCGGGTACTCCGGTTTTCCCCTCTCCTCAAAAACCAGCACTTCCAAATTCCAGTGCGAGCAGGAATCAGGTAGGCAAAGAACCACTTTGTGGATGTCGTACCTCCAAATCATTATTTATTTATTTATTTATTTATTTATTTATTTGTTAGCAATATGTGCAGTGTTGAATGTGTAGAAACGTGTTGGAGTTGAGTACATTGTTTCAAGAAGACGCGTCAAAAGCGTTTATTTGGGCGGAGTGTATATCAAAGGCAGAAAAACTTGAAAGTACACTAATGAGAATGTCAGGGCAAGCACGAGAATAAGGTTGAGAGACTGTATGCAAGTCACCTTTTTCTTACCGTTGACCAACAACACGATCACAGCTCCCCGTCCTAACCTGCAAACCAAGATTTATTTCAGTTTTCAGGCAGCGAGAAAAGACAACCAAGACAACCTCAAATATCGCTGCGCTCGCAGGTAGACCTGGCTTTGCATGCCCAAGCATCTGCCAAAAAAAATGCAACTTTGAAGCCAATCTGGCGACCGGGAGAACTTTATTTGGCGCTCCGCTGCTCGCCCTCGTCTTTGACACATTACGTGAAACAGCAGAGCTGTATTCAGTCAAAAGTCCAATAAAATTTGAGGTTCTTGAGAGCGTTTGCTACCTTGTCTTGGTCTCCAGCCGTAAGTGACTCGATGCGCTCGGGATTCTTTCCCCCTCAGGGGTGACCTGGGGAGAATCGCCAGCGCATGCTCCATAATGACACCCACGGCAGGAGACTGAGCAATCGTAATTTCGGTATGAAACACTGTCTCTCATTTTTTGATAAGTTACTTCAATTTGTCTGTCTCTTGGTTGTCTAAGGTACTACTCCGCGCATGGGCAGAACACCCCAGAGAGGGAGCGGGGCTGGTGGCGCGGTCACGCCTGGGCGTTCGTCAGTTCGGGATAAACTCAACATCAATCCAGAGGAGGCTTTGATGGAGGAATATGAAGCAGGATACGGAGCAAAACAACAGCAGGCAAGAATATAGTTGCTCTTTTTACATCGTGATCTCTTAACTCTTCAGAAAAGTGAAAATTAGTTGTACTGTTCTTTGAACGCTGTGAGTAAGTGTCCACGTCTGGTTGATTACGGATCTTAAGATCCGACGCGGCGGAAGCGAAAACGTCGCTTGAAGTGACTTCACGTTCTTTCCTTCTTAATCGCGATTATTTCAGCTCAGTTCACTCTGTCAAATGTAGGTCAACCATCCTAAAGTTGACCTCCTAAGAGCCATATCCAAGTTCAGGAAGAGAGAAGAAATTTCGTCGTCGCTTGTGTACGTCCTCGCCGTTGTCGGATCGTAAGGACCCTAATGCCAAAAACCATGCCGGAAAGAAACCTGTGCTAACAGGGTAGATATAACAGTGTCTCATGTGTTGTTATTCGACGGTGACCTGTAACATACATCAAACACTTTAAAAAGCATGCTTTGATGCTTGCTAAAATTTAATTGTTTTCTTAACTTTTAGGCGGAAATGAAGGCTCAGCTGAAAGCAGGGTTAGCGTCATTACCAGCACCTTCTAATGACTTCGAGATTGTGCTACCTGAGGTAGGGGTTACAGATGTATTCAGTGTTATCATGAGATGACCGCAGCTTGTATCCCTTGCACTAACTGGTACGCACAAAATCAGAATTTATCAAACGTCCCAAACTTTATTTTCTAAAACTCTACATGATAAATAGTACTATACCAAAGGAGAGCTGAAGATGTGGTAACTCTTAAGCTTTTCACTGGAAGATCCAGGAGTTAAAATCACCCTTTGAACCGCAATAAAAGTGCCACAAGCTGTTACTGCTGAGAGAGATCTTTATTTATTCGTATCAGGGTAGCCCATTCAGACGCCTTAGGTACTGCTATCAATTGGGGCCCTAAAGGGGTTTCATTTGAATGCTTGGAACGTAGGATTTCATTTCCAGACTCAAAAGTTAGATCAACACTCCAAATAATTATAGAGTACATACGGTGTAAAAGTACCGCTGAAGCGGTTTCAGTTGAGTGGTCACACCGTAAGACTTCGCTCGCTGACTCAGTGAGAACCACATTCCATCTGACATTGCTTCACCCGAGTAGATAGAACTCAAATCGCTGTGAGCCTCCACTTTTCTCTGTAATTCGAAGCAAAGCTTGTTGTCTCCCTGCACAATAATTTGCTCCTCGTTTATCCTCGACCTCGAACCCTTTTAGTAAATCGTTCAGATATCAGTGATAAAAATCCTAAGTAAAGCGTTCCAGCTATTTACTTCAAAGAACATATAATTCGTCGCCTGATAAAGTCTGGTAAGTTGTTCAGAGTAGGCTTCAAAAGAGGTAAACTGAACAAGAGGCGTTATTGGGGTGATTTGGCGCGTTTTTGGGTGTGGGCGCTTGTTTGGGTGTGTGCGCGAAGGTGCGAGGCTAGCGACAGGAGGTTAAAAAGTTAATTTTTTCCCGCCTTTTGCGTGTCTCGCGCTTTGCGATGGCGCCCTAATACGCGCCTGAGCGCCCCGATAACGCCTGTTGCAGAGGCTACAAAATCGTTTTCCTTTCAATTTTCAGACTGGAGAAGAGGAGGTAGATGAGGCCACAGATGAGAGCTTTGTAGAAGATGCAGCTGACATTGATGCAAGGCGGATGGCCATGAAGGCTGCGGAAGGTCTGTTGTCCTGAACTGTAATCTCAATACTTCGCTTTTTATTTAAATTTCCACGTTCGTTTATATTGCTAGATGTTAGAGTTTTGTAAACGCATACGAACTCATGTGCGCGCCGCTATGATCCGCACGGGGACCAGGTGACCCGAAGATTGATCGTAAACCCGTGAGAATTCATCACGCAATGTCGCAGAGAAAAGTAAATCATGATTCTTTATACGTTATCTAGCTGCTTAAAATAATGGCTGCAGGATATTTCAAGGCAGAATAAAAACTTATTTTCCTTGTTGGTTAATTATTAACAAACCCCCGCTCAACCTCTTCAGTATCCAGGGGACACTTGCCTCGGTCCTTACCTGAGGGTTCCGCCATAATTATTAATTAATTAATTTATTTATTTATTTATTGAGTACAGAATTAAGAGAGCGAAGACGTCAGTCTCAGGCTGTTCAGCGAGAAATGCCTCGCCCATCTGATGTGAACGCTACTGTTCTGCGGCCGGTTAATGTCGATCCTCCTCTCACTGGACTGCAGAAGGTAAAGTTAAATAGGAAATTTCTCTTCGCAAGTTAAGTAAGCAGGGCAATTACTGCGCAGCTTCACCGACAAGTGTAATCCCTCGTGTCGATTCTCTATGTTACAATGGACGTGTAGATGTTGCTTAGGTTTGTGTACTAAGTAACGTTTAAGTCATTGCCCCACTCAGACGATATCATTGAACTGTATCAATTGCTTTACGATTGCTGTCTACCGCCTGTGCTGTGCTCACGAATAACGAACTTTCGCAACTAGCTTGCAAAGGTATCTTATTCATATTTAAAAAATGGTTTCGAGAAGTGATAAAAATTGTTTGTATTTTAACCAACATGTCATGATGAGTGCATGAAAAGGATTTTTAGTCTTTAGAAAACCGCAACCTAGTGTAGAGGTATGTCATTTCTTTCGCTTTCAAAACTTCCTCCCCAAAAATGCCTGCAAGTTATTTCGCCCGAAACCAGAGTTATGTCACCCGAAATTCAATATTATCATGCTCAACAACATCCTAACGTGTCACAAATTTATCGCTTGTTTCGAGTCATGATAGTTTAAAAAACGAGATGTATTTCACACACTTTTAACTTTATTTCTCCATGTACTACACCGAATAAAATTTCGGGCGACATTACTCTTGTTTCGGACGACAAAATTCGGGCGAGATGACTTTCGGGCGACTTGACCGGTTTCCCCTGCATTTGATTAAATTGCAAGCTGAACAGTTGCTGTTGTTTTTCAGGCAGAAGAGCTCATCAAGCGTGAAATGGTGACCATGATAAGAAGCGACATCGTCAATCACCCGACAGCTCAACAAATCGAAAACCTCACGCACAAGAAATCCAAAAACGCAGCTCAGGCGGTCATCGCCGCAACCCGCGCCGCTTTGGAAATCGAGCCACTGGAATCCTTTACAGAAAAGGAGATTGCACATGCTAAGGAACTGCTTGCAAACGAAATGGAGTTCGTGAGATCGAAGATGGCCCATGGTGATCTTCCTATTGAAAGCTACACTAAAGTCTGGGAAGAATGTTACGCTCAGGTCAGTGTCTTTTGGTCAAAAGGAAGCTTAAGCAAAGCCGTTTTTGACCGGCGCACATCAACCGAAAGTGAAACGGTCCCATAATGCAGTTCGACACAACACTAACCCAGTCTCAACCGTTATCTCAAAATGGTTAATTTGTTGTCAGTTACAATTACCTTATTAGGCAAAACTAGGGGCGTCTTTTTGGACTCTACTTCTCACAATAAGAAAAATGGTCGGAGACTTTCAGTTTCCTTACTGCGCTAGCGGAGAGTAGTTTTAAGAGTTAAAGGACCCGGCTTGAAAATGTGCTTTTCATGCACACAACAGATAGTTATGTCTACTCTCGAATGTTCCTTCAGGCTTACAGTAGTGACCTTAAGATACACAGTTTCTGCCTACGCGTACGGGTAGGTTGCTAAGGCGACCATTATTTCCTAGGACCAGGTCTTTCAAAGCTAGGTTAAGATAATCCAGGGTTGTTGCAAAATTTGAATATAGAAGTAAGAGCTTACAAAGCAAATTCCGTTTAATTCTTTTAGTCCACAATTTGATAATTGGATGCTCTTAAAAGTATTGAGAAACGTTTTCGAGAAAACGCCTTTTGAACAAAAGAAAAAGAAACCTAACCGTTTCTCCGGGGTAAGAGGCACTCTACCGCTACGCGTACCGGTAATTTACCCGTACCGTCTTCGTGGGTTCTAGTCGAGTGCATTTGCTATCACTGTATTTTTAGGTTTCTGGGAAACTGCCCAGCTACCCCATATAAGTTAACATTGACACTTACTTCTCACTTTGGGCAAAATGATGGCTTAGGGGAGGGGTAGGTGGGTAGTTTCCCCAGAAATCTAAATTGATCCTCCTTTTTCCCGGACTACAACTAGAAAACTAGAGCGGTTACGTTTTTTACACTTTCGTTTACTTAGCCACTGACTCGATGCTGTTTTAACATCAAGGGGACAGTGTAAAGTGAATCGTTGCAAAAGAACAACATAATTCTAATAACATGGGCATTGTAATCACCTTTTAATGACGCGAGGTAAAGTCTTCAATAATTGAGCCATCTCCATCTGGGCCAACTCAACCAGACAGCCAAGGACACGGTTTAGATATGAGCAAGTTCTAATGTCGACGGAGTCTAGGGATTTTTTTCAAACTAATTCTTTGGTTTTGATTGCTTTCTTTTTGTAGGTACTGTTTTTACCAACACAACAGCGTTACACCCGAGCGGCGTTAGCCAGCAAAAAGGACAGGCTAGAATCGTTAGAAAAGCGACTTGAGGTAAGCTGTTATGAAGAGCGCGTTTTATTATTAATCTTTCAGCAAAAACGTTTCCCGACGTTTCCAAAAGATGGGACGTGTTTCTTAATTAATCTAATCTCTCTTTACTCTTTTCCTCTCTCATCTCATTTCAATTTTTATTTCTTCTCCACTTTTGTTTTTTCATGTTAAACGTGTAGATGAACCGAACGCATATGACGGAAGATGCGAAACGTGCAGCCAAAATAGAAAAGAAGCTGAAAGTTCTTCTTGGTGGTTATCAGGTACAAAGGGCAACATACTATTACATGTATTTTTTGTTTTTTGTTTTTTTCAAATGAATTGGTAATTGCAATTTAAGCAGTTGCAAATTAAGCCGAAAAAAAAATTCGGGAGTTTACGGGATTCGAACCCATGGCCGCTCCGTTAGCGCTGCAGTGCTCTACCAATTGAGCTATAAAGACTTATACATTGGGAACAGACCAATTTGTTGAGTTCATCTTAACCCATGAATGGAATGAAACATATGAAGATGATGTGAACTGCCGAAATACAAATTTTTACGTGAAGATATGATCGTCGCATGTATGAGTCTCGAAACAGAACACAGAACATTGAGCCGCATATTTGTGATTGTCTCCTCTTCCTGCCTTTTAGCCTGCGAGAATGCTCTAAATTTTGAGCGTCAAGCGAAGTGGACCGCGAGGTGCGGAAGGGAACATAGGTGTAATTAGTTTTCTTAACTCGATCACAGGAGATGGAATCACTGGAGCGAACCAACCAGCAGTATTTGTGGCAATTTCGTGTAGACTGCGTCCAGCTCAAGAAAACGCGTGTTCCCGCGATTGCCCTTTTCTTTTTTCAACTCCTGATTGGTTGAGAAATTAAGGCGTGCATTCTGATTCAATCACAAAGCTTCTTTTCGTTGCCAGCTCAAAGTGCGGGAAAACGCGTGCTCCCGTGATTACCCTTTTTTCTTTCCTCTAGCCCTGATTGGTTGAGAAATTAGAGCGAGAATATATGTAATATTTGTGTACAGCGTGAGGCGCAGGAAGGCGCGTGTTCCCGTGATTACTCTTGTTTTCTCCACTCCTGACTGGTTGAGAAATCAGAGCGTGAATTTTTATCTAATCACAAAGCTTAGCGATTCAAAACTAAGAAATGTTGTAGTTACTCTCAATACTAAATTGAAATATTTCTATATTATTTTTGTCTTTAGAGTCGAAGTGTTGGTTTGACTAAGCAGATCAGTGACCTTTACGAGCAGATTGAACAAGTTCACATAGAGAAGGAAACGTTCAGATCCCTCAGAGATCACGAACTTAGAGCCATTCCCAAAAGAGTCGAGGTACAGATATTGATTTAATTTAGTCTTGCATTTTGATCAAGACGCAAGCGTCAACAAAGCCAATTGAACCGACAACGGGTGAAACGCTCTTGGATCGAGATAGTGGCTACCTTTGGCCCAGCCATGTCGAAAGTGATGCGTTTTCGAAAAACCTTCGTTGTTTTGTTCTCAGATCGCATCAAAGGCACCGCCTCCACACTAGCGTGCATTGTTTTTGATCGTAGTCTCGAAGTCATCGAAAACGCATACTGGCCATAAGTTTTCGTTTCCAAGCTATTCTCGAACGTATTATTTTTCAGTATCCCTCGTTAATAAATTGTGGTGCCGGGTTATACTCGTTAGCGTTTTCGGAGACCGTCGGGTTTTCTGTCGTTTACACTTGAAAGATAGACCCACTTTTTTCATTGTTTTAGTGTGAAGGCAAGGCAAAAAGCGTAATATTAATGCTTTGAGCATAAAATTCCTTGCAAAAACGTCCACAAAAAGAGCATTTAGCAAGTAGATTTAGGTGTGGACAAAAGTGGTTTGTAATGCTGAATGTAGCTTGATAGAATTCCGAGCGAAGTGTATTGCATGTGATGTTATACTAAGACAAGAACCTCTACACTGCATCTACCCTGCACGCAGAGGTTTTTTTCTGGCATAATTGTAGCATTTCCGAAATCTGTAGCTTTTCATCCACAACCTTGTTACTTGCTGTCTTGTTATGTATTCTAAGTTTTGAATGAAAGAGCTTTAATATCTTCTAAAATACCTTCTGAAATTTTAGTATATTGATAAACTGATTTTCGTAGTTTTAACTGTTTTTTTTCTTGCAGTCACTTAGAGAAGATGTGCGGCGACAAACAGACCGTGAGCACCAACTGCAAAATCGCTACTCGCATATGTTGTACGAGAGAGACGCCCTTTACGGCCAAATGCCACATCAGTGAGAATTACTATCGTGGTTCTACCCATAACCAGCGGCCTCAGTTTCAAACGAACATTAATGTGAAAACCTTCATTTCGCTTCTCTTTTCTCACATCAGTAAATTCCACATGTGCGTGTATGTGTAGTGATTACCTAATGGGCGTTTTTTCCGTCTTTACATGGACATTGTAAGTTACCAGCGAGAGAAGACGGGAAATCTCAATGCAATTTCCTCACTTTATCATCGATTTAACGCAAGTAAAACCCTATTGGACGACCGTCTTCGCCGAGTTGTTGGTCGTTTTGGTAAATCCTCCAAGGGAAAAGAAACACTGATTGCTTTATTATGTAACTATGCATACTGGAAATAAACAGCAAAGCGTGAAATTTCTAAAAAGCTTTTCGTCTGCTCTTTGTTCACCAGGTAAAAAGATCAGATCGTAGGTCTTGCGGTCTTGCACAGAGTGGCAAAGCCCGCCACCTAATAGGCTCTTTCTTGCTGGGATCTGACCTGGGTGGCAGGCGCCAGTTAATATTTTGGTTAGGCCTAAACTGGAAAGCGCATGTCAAAGTTTAATTGAGTGGCAAAGTTGGATACCAAACATGCCGCATGGAAGAAATAGGATAACAATCGAGTTACGAGTCTGAGTTGAGTTCAGTCAAGTTTGAGTTAAGATTGAGTTAAGTCTGAGTTACCATTTAGGTTGGTGGTTTAATTAAAATATGGTATATGTGGATGCAGACGACAATGTATAACCGGAGGAAGTGACCGGCTTTTCGCATTTCAAGAGCATAAGGCCTGTTTCAAACGTCGTGCGACTGCAGCTGTGCTAGTAGAGAGCGCGACTGTAGCACGACTTGGTTTCGCACGTCAAACATACTCTTAAACGTGAAAAGTCTCTTACTCTGCCACTCCGCTATTCAGAAGGATGAACCATGAGACTGCCTTTGTAAGCAAAAAAAATCGTAGAGAAACTCGGAAATTTCTTTAAGAAAGTTGAAAGTAGGGTCTTTTAACACGAAAAGCAAATTATTGCCATTGGCCATTTTAAGAGACTTGGTCGGTGCTGGGATAATTTGCACAATGAGTTACTATGGGAACTGTTTTGTGGACGTTAGTATTCTAAGAAATGAATTAAAACGATTTGCTTCGGTTGCCATTCTATCCTTCGCGGGAAAAAAATCTCAGCTAGCTTCCAATTTAAAACTGACGCGTACACCGACCATATATGGAGAGCATGATATAATGGCTCATATACCATAATGGCTAAGCCAATCAAAACGCTAGAATTGCATTATCAAATGATTCAGTTTTTAATAATGTAAGATATGATATGGTTATGTGTGAATAGAAGCCCTATCATATCCGGTATGGTTTTCCTGCCGGCGCAATAGTTATCCGGCATAGTGGGAACATAGTCTTATGCAGAGCTTGTTTTTCTCCTCCTCGATGAAGAAGACAAAAGGAGGCTCTGCTCGGCAGGGTGCTTGTTTCAAACTCCGGCCAAAAAGAACTTTGCACAACAGAACAGATGGATCATATCATCAAATGATAGCATGGAGCTATGATGTATATAATATTTATTAAGTTAGAAAGGCCAGTTACAAACGTAAATATTAACTTTTCATTTTTCACAAATGTGCTCCAAGTCGATATTGGTTTTTTCGGAAGCCGGAATACGTATTTTTTTTTTGGAATGATGCCCTGTATATAACAAAAATACGGGCTGACATCACTTTTGTAAAATCCTAAGACAGTTTATTAACATGAAGCATATCTGTTCTGTTACTTCCTATCATATTAATCTATAGAGTTGAAGTTTCCTCTGTTTTTCAATCTGCTTAATTAATACGCAAAACTTGCACAAATTTCGTCACCAAGCAGCCTCCAACGCAGATGGGTCAGTGGTCCTCCCCGCAAAGGACGCTCCCGGGGGAAGAACACGTGACGAACTCGTAGGGGAGGCACGCGTGACGAACTGCGTTGGAGGCTAGTCTTAGAGTTTCTTGAAATTATCTCTTAACTGCGAGATCTTCGTCTTCTTAGCGGATTATGAGCTTTGTTCCTAGAATCCGGTTTAACGGGCATTCCAGGCGAATTAATAGTAGACTTTTTTGATCGTGCAATAGGGATTTTCGGGCACGTTTTATCGCATTGCGGGTAGTAACAATTATTTTCAATGAGGGTCTTGCAACTGTCCGTGTTTGGGTCGGAGGACCGATGCCGATACCATGCGTTAAGAGCGTCGTCCAGGTTTCTTCCACTCACTCTGACTTTCAGCCAATCACTGTAAAGAAATAACAACAACGACAAAGGGATTACATAATGCTGAACAAATTTACAAATTAAATGAAAAATTATGTTCATCGTTATTTGTGTATTGTCGAACTCGCTTATCGTTTATCTCACAGTTGATAGCGGCATTTAAACTGCGTACTGTTGGTCTTCATCTTCATAAGACGATAATGTCGGACTATTAGTGGTACCGTAGTTTTGTGCATTGCGAATATCACTCACTGTTGGTTGTATCGATACTGGGCTTTGTAAGCATTGTAGTGTAAGAAGCTGTTCCCTCAGTGGTCCGTTGTCATACTGACCGGCTGCAGTGCTGTTTGATCGTGGGCATCCACCCTTCTGGACTCGCTCATATCCCTTGTCTCTATTGATGTCGAAACGAATAGAATCTGTTCCCTCAGCGGTCTGCTCTGTAGCACCGATCGGCTGCGGTTCTATTTGATCATGGACATCCACGCTTCTGGATGTCTCAATTCCATTGTCCTCGACGGTCTACTGTGGCACCGATCGACAGCTGTGCTGTCTGATCGTGGGTATCCACTCTTCTTGAATTTCAATTTCATTGCCTCTGTTGATGTTGTTAGAGCAACGTCGTATGAGAATTCTCTTTTACCTAGGTCAATAAACTTGATGTCGTGCCAGAGCGGATAGTGACATGTCTTATTTGCCTGTTCGGATGCGGTTGAAGTCTAAGTTTGTGATAGCCTGACGAGAGACGGCTGTATTCGCAGGTTAAGTTTGTGAAAGTCTAATGCCCCTGTCACGTTCTTTAACCCATTCAAGCATCTGTCCGTTTTGCCAATTAAAACTTATAACGAATCTTATAAACTACACCACCTAGTTCTATCCTTAGGTCGCCCGAAGTTCGATACAAGTGTTATACCGGATCTGAATATGGCCCAGCACATTCAATATTGTTGTAGGCAATGAAGAAGAGCTTCAGATAACCATTCAATTGATTATTGATGGGGCTAGCCGTGGTAGATTGGCTCAGTCGGTAGACCGCTTGACTGCAGAGCGAGAGGTCGCGGGTTCAATTCCCGGAGCCGGACCAATACTCAGGGTCTTAAAATAACTGAGAAATGATGGTACTGCCTTTACCCTGCAAACGAGTAGACCTTCGCGTGGCTCAGATGACCACGTAAAATGGCGGTCCCGTCTCAAGTAGGAGACGTAAAAATAGTGTCACCAATTAGTACTTTCCTGCTAAATATATTGACACTCAAATAAAATGCTTTTTTTTTTCGATTACGCGTCCCTGTTCATGTCGATGCGTGGTTCCTGGGTTTTGGATCATGACGTTGTTATAAACTGATAGGGATATATATCCGTAGGATACAAAAACCGAGGATAATACTACTTTCAATTGTCTTACAGATAACCGATGCTTTCTACACCATCGCCTGATGGAGACAGCAGTATCCGGTCGAAACGACACGATCAATAACAATATGACTACCGTGAGATAAACGATAGACGAGCCCTTTCAACCTGTAAATTACGGCCGAAGATCTAGTCTGAAAACACTGCCGACATAAGGCGACCCTGCGAAATGTCAGAAGCCAAACAACACTGTGTTTCTCTGTCACCTTTACCGACACCTGTTCAACAGTATCTAAAACACGAAAGATCATTAGTCCAAGACTGCTGAATGGCGATGCCAACAGAGTCCGATAATTTCAGGTATAAAAAGGGGATTTATGATCACGTGACTAACTCTATGAACCAGCACCGATCACAAATCTTTCTTATAGCACTTACAGACAAAAGCATATATGCTTCTGTTACTGATAGAGCATGGCTCCTAGTTATTGCTTCTATGATTTAAAGATACTTACTTTCGTGTAAGGATAGTGTGCGAGACACACGAAGGAGCAAACACAGCACTAGCAAGAAAAAAAAATTGGTTAAAGAAAACAAATTAACGAAAGCAAAAAGAAAAATTGCTAAAAGCTTTGCCTCCTGTACAAAAAAAATGACAATAGCGATTTTGACGTAATGGCAAATGCTGCCAAATCCATTACACGCTACAAAAAGACTTCAAACTAGGGCGAAGTTAGTGTCTGTGGAAGTATTTTTCCGCACTTGCCTCCAGATATAAGTATTTGTGTGAACGAGTTGACTAAAAGTGGCCGCCACTAAATTCGCCAAAACGTTATTTTTGTCAAACACAAGTGTTGAATAAACGCAAATGAGTTGACGATTCAAATATTTTATCACCGGACTTGAACGTTTTATCAAATACAATCACAGCATGAATTCACCTGATAAACGTGGGAGCATCAACGATTGTTAAGGAAGAAGAGACTTTATTTAACCAAGATAGAAACTTTATTACCAGTTACCCGCTAGTTTTCATAATGGACCTACTTAAAGTGTGTACGAGAATGAAACTCACCAAGCTAGCCCGTCGGTGTTAGAAAGTGACTCATTCATCTTTTTTCCGAGCTTAATAGCGATTTTAGCCCTATCTTTCACTCGGGTAATTCCCTGCCAAACCCAACCTAATTGTTCTTTATCATACAACCACTGGAAAACGAACAGGGGAGCTGTTAAAAAACAAAAACACAACAATTGAGAAAAATTATAAACTCGACTGAGGCTGTCAATGGCGTATAACTCTACTCAGTAACTAGTTGAAGGGGCTATGTCAAGCTATTTGCTATTATTTTAAAAAGCTATTAAAAACGTGTCTTTGTATCAATTGAATTACTAAAATAATGGTGCAGTCTTGTTATTTTTAAGCAATAGACCACACTTTCTATGGGTTTACCGGAGTGATAACCCACGCAAGATTTTGGGAGAACACTCAAAAAGCTTGTAAATCACGTTATTATGCCGGTAGACCCCTAGAAAGTGTGGTCTATTGCGTTTATAAAATAACTCTACGAAAAACGGAGTCGTTTCAGTTTTCTATGAGCTTACCGGCACAGTAAACCTTAGTTTTTTAACCAATCAGAACGCGCGTACTATCTTAGTTATTCTATAAAAGACTATATCTAGGCATTGAAACTGTTTCCTGTCGTCTGTTGCTACGGATAGAAAGAATGAATATAAGGATTGACTCTCAACAAAATTGGGCCAAACTTTTTCAAGTTTCAAGGCTATGCCTACAAAAATCCACAAAACGTATTATGGTTAGTGTTCCCTGATGAGATTTGTTTGGCATATTCTTCTTGGTAAAGCACCAAGTAATAACTTTTAGCACAGAATATAAATTTAACAGCTACCCTCGTGGCATACCACCTTTCAAAGATTTCCCTTTATAATCACTAGACACCAAAAAAGGGTCTTGGCAGTTAACAACTAGAGTATACTAACGCATCAGTAAAGATTCCGTCCGAGTAGCCTTGTTTAGCTAAAAGTTAAGAATTGTCTGGCTAATGACGGGTAGCCGGAAGAGGTCGAATAAAACATCAGACCGGCATTTTTAAGTTTCACACTGTGTAAACCGGTTTAAAAAAATCCCTGATCATGCTTGCACCTGGAAAATGAATTCTTTACTCTGTCCAAGAGATCATGAAAGGACAGAGCGGGAGTCTCCCAGGCATGCCTTTGGGATATCTTAATTTCAGAAAAGTTATTTTTAGAAACTATGCGGACCATGCGGAAACAGTTTCAGGTAAAGTGGTTCCATGACTTTCGGAAGACTATCATTATGATCTCTTGCTCGGTCTTGTTGTTCCCACCAACTTGCTATACCGCCTCTTATTTTTTTTCTACAAATATAGAGCGGCGGTGGGTTCAGGGAAATCTTACCGTGCTTGGGTGAGGCGCTGTCCGTTTTGTACACATGCTCTCCAAAGTAACACTTCCATTTCTTGAGTGGATTGCGCCTTGCACAATCAGTCGGTACAATACCACGCCAGTAACTAAAACATTCAAAAACATTTTCTAACAAAGAAAGGTCATTTGACACCAGGAAGAAAAGGAGGAACCAGATTATAGGAATATAGTAGGTACTCTTTGACACGCGCAACGTCCTCGGCTTAGAGTGGTTGATCAGAGTTCGTGAAAAGCTTGAATTCCAGATTGTTTTTTGGACAAGAAGCTCTCACACTTGATCGCCCAGTCCCGCTGCTTGCTTGTCTTAGTTAATGGTATACAGCGCTGTAGTTACAGGATAACTGCCTTGACCCTTGCATTGGGCAAATGAAGCTTACAGTGCGCCATTTTACTAGCTACACTAGTAAGTTACACTTGTAAAAAATTTATTACAGTCAAGGCAGGTCAAGTGTTCCCCCTAAGATTCTATTAATGAATTGATTATTTCAAAAATGAATCCGTTGGGCGTTCCCTTAACTACGGCAAATCGGCATTCCTGCATGCGTAATAAGCAGTGAATATTTTACGAGAGCTTCTCTGTACTTGGTCAGATTGAAAATCTTTGAATGGATAAAATTACTCCGAAGACATTTACATCAAATTCAAGGAAACTGAGCTGGTAGACAAATTCATAACTGCCTTGCGTGTGAATTCACGGCTCATTACGCATGCAAGAATGCAAGAATGAATCTGAATCCTACAACTAACAACGGATTCAACTTTCGAATAATAAATTCATAAATGGAATCTTCGGGGGTACGCTTGACCTGAGTTGACTGTAAATTGACCCCTATTTATTCACCACTTCAGAAACAAGGAAGAAACTGGACCAAGTTAACTTTTGCAAAGTCTTCAGGGACTGTCACTAGCGACAGGGGAGAAATTTGCCAATAGAGAACTTACAAGCAAAGGCGTTTTTGAGCGACACACGTCAACCGGAAGTGGACTTTTTACATTCCTGAGCAGTGGTTTTGCCAAAATATTCAGTTAACCCTTTCACTGCCAGATTGTTTGATGGAGTTTTGTAAGGTGACTCTAACTTTTGAGTCTGAGGACGAAATCCTATGATGAGACCATTCAAATGAAAGCTATCTGCCTGTACTTTAACATGGGGCTATTTGTTTGTCCAAATTTTAGAACATGAAATTTGAAATTTGCCTTTGGCCACATTTGGCAGTGAAAGGGTTAAATCGTCTCTACAAGTACAAAGAATCTTAGCAATACAAACTTTATAGCGTTAAGGCATATTAAAAGGGAAAAGTCCTCACTTCCGGTTGATTTGCGTCTCTCAAAGACGCCTTTGCTTGAGCTCCCTAATATCTGATCGGCGCCTACCCAGTAATAATCCAAGAAACAATTGCACGCATTTCCGCTGCTGTTCGATTCCCTACTCGTTTCTAAACTGGCGAATAACTGGGCGATGAACCTAGAGTTTCTCTGACGAACACCCTTAAAAACCAGGAAGATTTTTGCCCTCCTTTTCAGTCCCTTTTTTGCAGCCGGTGTAAATGCCAGCAAGCTAAGTTTTGCGTAAATTACAAAGCGGCGAACAGTGTAATCACTTACTTCATGCCGTTTCTAATGGCTGCAGATGTCCTCGGTAATTCTGCGCCTGCTAGGAACCATCCAGAATCGGCCAGTCCTCGGACTTTAACTTTGGATCCAGCCATCTTGAGTCTCAAGGCTAGCCTATCTAAATTGAGGATTACGCCGACTCCACCGGCACTGAAACACGAGAAGCCCAATATTACAGTGTATATGACACGAATTTTAGTTTACAATATGTGTGCAATATGGTTCCGAAATGTCAAAAACTCGTCAAAAATCCTGCAAAACCTTTTTTTTTTCGTCTTTAAAACACGCAAATTTGCCTCAAAATTGACAATTATGACGTACAAACGATTTGCACAAATTTAGAATGATTTACAAGATGACAACAAATAAGAAGGATTGTCGCTGTTGACAACTTCCCAATCATCTCCAAAACCTTCATTTACGCCCCTAAACCTTCGTTACAATCAGATACGTACATCGCTTAATTTTACAAAACAAAGCAATGACCAGTATCGGAAGCAAAAGCTGAGAAGATCAACTGACTTCAAATCACATCATCAGCCTTTTTTTTTTCCGAGCCCAGTCTTAGGGACACTTCTGAAGGGGAAAAGTAGTTTTTAAACGAAATCTTTTGGGGAACCCATTTTTAGAGTTCAAAATTGTTCACTAAACTTATCTAAGGACCCAAATCATTTTTTTAAAAAATTTTTTCACATTCACTTTAAAATACTCTAAAACACTGGCAAAACGGCGAGCGTTGTCCAATAAACGACTACATTCCACTGGAATTCCTCATTTCTATTCATAGGGGAATTAACGTGCTTGTGTCGATCATGATTTGAAGAACGAGGATAGGTATATTACATGTGCAGGGTCAGGCTTGTCTCGGGTCATGGCTTAAAGAACGAGGTAAGGACATCGGTAACTCCAGTGAACTGTAGTTGTTGAGGACAAGAACATTCTGCTCGTTAGATAAAAACGTTCGGTTCGTACAATGAGTAGATTGGGCGGGCTTGCACCGGATCGTACCGTCAGGTTGATCTGTTTGTATGACTATTGAAAACTGAAATAGTTCGGCCGTTGTTTTTACATGTCGATAGGTTGATTGTTTACCAGAGTAAAGGAGGGAATTGAAAGCAAGGGTGGCACAGTGATGAAAGCACTCGCCTCCCGCCAATTTGGCCCCGATTCACTGAAATCCACGCGTCGACCCACACGTTATTGCTTCTCTCCCTTGCTCCAAGAGGTTTTCCTCCGGGTACTCCGGTTTTCCCCTCTCCTAAAAATACAACTTTACCAAATTCCAATTCGACCAGGAATCAGGTAGATGAAGAACCACTTTATGGATGTGCTGCCTCTAAATCGTTATTTTATTTACTTGTGTAAATGTTTTGGTTTGTAAACGGAATCCCTCAGTATGATAATCTTAAGCAGTATTACCGTGTTTTGTATCTTTCTTTCGTTTTTTCTTGTCCTTTTTTAATGAAAAAAAGAAAATGAAATTTTTCTTTTGCCACAAATTTTTATTAGTCCGCTGGTTTAAAGGAAGATGTTACCAATCACTAAAAATTCACCTGCTGCCTGCAAGAAGTAGGTGCTTTGCATGGTAGAGTCCTTCCGGTAACAATTCTTCGATGACCCTTGCTAGTATCCTCGTTCCAAGAAATGAAAATTGCCCTGCAAAAAAAAATTAATAATAAGAAAAAGATGGGCGCACCTGGAATTGACTGGTGCATTAGCACTGAGTTCATTCAGTAAACTATGGTTAACCGTTACAATTCTAGATGACGTTAAGATGAGGACGTTTGAGCCTGTGGGCGAAATGCTATGGTGTTACTATTCAAATGAAACCTCTTTGAATTGGAAGAACGCTTGCCTAATCCTTTTTTTTCTCATTTGGATCTGAATAAATCGATCCTAACCTCCTGTTTCTCTCTTTGAAGCATTTCCACTCCACACGTCACTCGAACAATAGGGTACGTACCTAACGATCAACAAGATCAACGACATCAGAATCTTCCTTAAAACTTACAACAAATTTGCAGGCTTTTAAAAGTAACCTATAGTTTGGACTAGATAAGCTAGTCAAGGGTTGTGCCAAAGGGGCGAAATCTTATTGGCTCCTTGTCCGCACTTCTTGTACTAATTGAAGTGTCTTTTAGTTTGGATTAGATAAACTAGTCAACAAGGGGTTTTCCAAAGGAGCGTAATCTTATTGGCTCCAAATTGTGTGCCTCTGAACAACTGAACAACTGAACTGAACACCTTTATTTACGTGTCACATCTTCTAGCTGCTACATGTTGCCCACTAATCGGGGACAACTAATTTTAAAATCTAATTTAGTAAAATATTACATTAGGCAATAGTATTTAAAGACTATGCAAAAGATTAAATAAAAATCAAAATGTATATAAAACAACATCAGTAGCATTAAGCCATTAAAGAATAATAACAGTAATAGTATTTAATCTAATTAATCTAAAAGTGAGCTAAAGGTTTAAACTAACAAGTAGAGAAAGGAACTAATAACTATGGTAACAGATTGACAAACTGAAAACGAACAGTAGACCACTAAAAACATACTAGCAACCACTCATCCTCCTCTCCTAGTATCAGGTACTAATCGGCTCCTGTGGATGCGTACGATTAATCATCCTCTATAAGTGGTCTTTCCCCGTGCCACATAGTGAGTCCCCAGGGAACTTACCCTATGGTAAATTCCTCGGATTAATTTATTTACGTAATTTTCGATTTCAGTCTTACACGTGATTGGCATTCCACCAGCTTGGATTTTCACGTGGATTAGGTGATAGTATTCCCATTCCTGTTAGGAAAATAATAAGAGAAGTGATCCTGAGTACATCAAGCTTAAAGCTCAAAACCGTCTGTCTTCATATTGAAATGTAAGAAAGGAAAAAGAAGCCGGGAATAACAAATTGCCTGCCTCAAAGGCTGCAAAAACTGCTAGTAATTCCGTGCATCGCCTCTATGTAGCAATACGAAACTAGAAAATCTCAATAACTGACCACTGACTTGGGTATGAATAGAATAAGGTCAATAAGGATTAAATGAAGCAAATCGTGGCTAGCACTCTCAAGGAGTCACTTCCTCCCATTATGTATTTGTTATTGTAATTAATTATCACCATTATTTCTTTTCAATTTAGGTTATCATATATGTTGGGCCTCTATGGATAGCAGTTTTTATCTTCTACAAAAACTGAAGGAGTTATCCTATTGAAATAAAGGTTTCTATCTATCTATCCCCGTTTCTTTCTTTGCTTTTTTTCTTTCTATTTTTTCCGGTTTCCTCCTCTTGAACGACTGTAAGAGAGCAAGCAACCTTCTAGCTAACCTCTCTTTGTTGTTTTCCACCCGTTTGACGTCATCAATTCTCTCATTGTCCTGTTCCTTTTTCGACAGGACGCTGGGCTATAACAAAACCAGCCACCTTAGAAGGTAAGACAAAAGAAGAATAATTTACAAGTATTAATAGCACTGCACAAGTCAATTATGGTCTCATTGTGCAACTAAAGGCTCAGTAGTCACCGCTTAACATTATGGTGCGACTTCTCACGCAAACACACTGTTTTGCAAGTTATATTTATTTCACGTGTTGCACCCATAAGCACAGATCCGTTATCTGGGTAGAAAACGCGCAACAAACAACCAAAAGAATTTGCAAGTTACGATCACACGTAGGAAAATATTTCCCCTTTCATACCTGGCCTAGAGCCAAGCCTAAAAGTTTTTTCCTGATATCACGTTAAGAGGCAAACAACTCGTGCTAAGGCGTACACCACTTATCACAATAGGAAACATGGCTCAGGAGGTCTCAGGATAATATGTGTGTTTAACCCGTATTTTCCTGGTAGAATCAGACAGCATTATCGTAACTCTGCGTGAGGCCTGTAGGTGTTAGCCAAATGGGTAAATTAACGAAACAATGATCCGTTACCGTGGTAGAAAACACGCAACAAACAACCAAAAGAATTTGCAAGTTACGATCACATGTAGGAAAATATTTCCCCTTTTATACCTGGCCTAGAGTCAAGCCTAAAAGTTTTTTCCTGATATCACGTTAAGAGGCAAACAACTCGTGCTAAGGCGTACACCACTTATCACAATAGGACACATGGCTCAGGAGATCTCAGGATAATTTGTGTATTTAACCCCCGTATTTTCCTGGCAGAATCAGACAGCATTATCGTAACTCTGCGTGAGGCCTGTAGGTGTTAGCCAAATGGGTAAACTAACGAAATAATGATCCGTTACCTGGGTAGAAAACACGCAACAAACAACCAAAAGAATTTGCAAGTTACGATAACATTCAGGAAAATATTTCCCGTTTTATACCTGGCCTAGAGCCAAGCCCAAAAGTTTTTTCCTGATATCACGTTCAGAGGCGAGAAACTCGTGCTAAGGCGTACACCACTTATCACAATAGGAAACATGGCTCAGGAGATCTCAGGATAATTTGTGTATTTAACCCCCGTATTTTCCTGGCAGAATCAGACAGCATTATCGTAACTCTGCGTGAGGCCTGTAGGTGTTAGCCAAATGGGTAGAGTAACGAGATAGTGATCCGTTGCCTGGGTAGAAAACGCGTCCGGGGGGGTTACTTGGGTTAATTTGTGCTGGCTATGTGCCGCTGGCCTCTCAGAGCCCCTACCCCATTACAGTCTGTTCTGTGGCCAATAGAGAGGAGAAGTCCTTACGTCAAGTCGCCATGGTAGCAAAATTTTTGGATGACAACAAACCGATAAAGTCACTTGAAAGTCTATTCGCACTATTTCAAACTTCACCCATCTTATTCAATTTCATTTAATTTGGCAATCTTGGCGAAATTTTCTTTGGGACCATATCTATCGTTACCTAAGTTTAGAAAAAGAAAGCGATAATTTTTGTGTTGTGTTTACTTAAGCGGGCTCGTGAAATAAGGAAATTTCATGTCGTAGTGGTGCAATGATGGCAAAGAAATGTACAAAATAGCGTGATTCACGTGCAACGTTGTTGCTTGTTAGTATGAACATTTCATTTTTGCCGTTCTCCTTGCCGTCGCCGTCGTCGTTGGTTTTGTTTTCATCCAGAAATAGTGCTACCGTGGTAACGTGACATCACACTTCTCCTCTCTATTATAGACCCCATCTTAGTCACTTTTGGGCAAATATGTAATTTTCGCGATCCCAACTTAGTCACTTTTTAATTATGTATCTACCTTATAAATCCTTTAATTAGGTCATCCTAAAATGAATTGACCCGTTTTTTTTAATTGAATGAAGAACACTTTACTTTTCACCTACAGTATAAACATTCTGGTACGTTTGCTAACCGTAATTAGTATATACACACTCAGTGATCTTGGTAATCCAAGCAATCTGATTGGTTCGCTATCTCGGACTATGACGTTATATTCACCACGCTAGGCGGTGAATATAAAGCAGAATAAAATCGCTGTCGTGTTTTGCCAAAGTTTCATAGTGAAGCCTTTTTGAAAATACACGAATATCCAAGTGCTGATGACTTTGAAGGCAAGAAAAGACTTCATGGTGTTTAAACAGCGTGATCTATTGTGAAGTGGTTTACTGTAGCTGACTTTTTGTACGCTCGAAGCTATGTTTACCACTCAGAGGAAAACGAGGCCGCTTTGTCACTGTTTTGTGATTTCGGGATTTTCTTGCAAGACCAATTTTGCCATAGAAGTTAATTTATGGAGAAAAGAGGAAGGCAAATATTTTCGAAAATTGTACGTGCCAGCAAGTTAACAAAACAAAAAACATTGGAGATAAACAACGCTCACCTTGATCGTAGCCGCTATTGACAGCATTTGCAAGAAGCGACAAAGAAAACTTTCTCATTCACGGTGAGTTGACAGAAACAAATAAAGCTCTACTTTTCTTCTCAGAATTGGGTAGTAATATAAATTTTCGGCGTTTTCTTTTACACCGTCGATGCTAAAGCTTACAAAACTCGATACAAAAAGATTAAAACTATCATTTGCCATTTTTGAAGATACTGTAAAGATCTAACTTTTGCGCATCCACTGTTTACGGCTTCGTGTTCACTTCTTCGTGTTCACGCTATTCAACCGTCAATAAAACTGACCGTTTTTTAATGGTTTCCTTTATGATTCTGTTCAGATCACTTCGTGTGAATATACTCAAACAATTATTCACCTCAGGCTCAGTTAATATTGTTGAATAATCCCCTCGACTTCGTCTCGGGGATTATTCAACAATATTAACTTCGCCTTCGGCGAATAATTGTTAAATATGAAGAACTGTCTTACCCCGATAATCCGAAAATGTACGACCCCATTCTAGTAACTCCGTTGAAAATGCGATCCCATTAAAGTCAATCCAGTCGTGAAAATGCGACCCCATCTAGCGGCACATCCCCATTACATGCCATTAGGCTCTTCTCTCCCCCTCCCCCCCCCTCCCCCCGGGAAGACGCGCAACAAACAACCAAAAAATTTGCAAGTTAAGATAACGTACAGGAAAATATTTTCCCTTTTAAACCTGGCCTAGAGCAGGAGCCTAAAAGTTATTTCCTGATATCACGTTAAGAGGTGAAAAACTCGTGCACACTCGTGGACACGCTTGTGCAGTGAGCTGTGCAGACGTGTTTTGTGTGCTCCGATCTTATTTCACGAATTCTTCTCTTATCCTGAACCTACAAATTCTGAAATCATTCAGTATGACGGCTAACGACAAGCTACGAAAGGAAAATCAAGTTTTGCGTAATGAAATTGAAGAATTAAAGAAGAAACTACTGAAAGTTATCGACGAGCTGTCAAAGAATCAACATGGCAGACACGCCGAACGGGAATTGTCACCAGGAAAGGGCGTTCAATTGAATTTACGTCAAGCCAATATGACAACTTCATCCGCTTCAAAGTGGAAGCTGAGAGGCAAATTCAGGTACTCGTCTCACGAGTTAACGAAATATCAATTCTGTGCGATCATATTAGGAAATCTAGCCTCAGAAGCATACAGTTATCAATTCAACATTAAAATCGTGGTTCACCAACTGTAGCCGAACGTGAAACATCACAACAAACAGCCGATCCCTGTATGACGCTTTTCCCTGCTTAGGGACTTGAGGAAGTATCATTGAGTGGCATCGACACTGCAGATCGGGGGCCATCCCGCGTGGCTTCCAACACACCCAACGCCAACATTTGTAAATTCGTGTGTAGGTTAGCCAGAGAGAAAGTCATGGCAGCCAGGAGAGGAGTGTCTAACCTACATGCAGAAGATTTGGACTTCAGTGACGCGGTAGATGTAAGCCACATCAACCTATATGATCATCTTACACCAAGGCTGCAAGAGCTACTATTTGACAGCAAAAGACTCAAGGATGCGAATAGCTACAAATACTGTTAGGCGAAGAACGGATTCGTTTATTTGCGGAAGTCGGATACCTCAACCACAGTAAAACTGACTAGTTTAGAAGACCTGCAAGGAGTGGGATCGCAGAGTTGAGCTAAGTACTCTTGTTTAGATTATACGATCATTAGAAACAAGCTAAATAAAGTTGCGTAGAAATAAACCGGAAGAAAGCGCTAATAAATTATTATTGCGTGAGCTACCTTACTTTAACTTTAGGGGTAACCTGGCTCTCTATCATGGGCAGTTTTAAAACTCGATCTCTGTTGACAGGTGGCCAAGGCGAAATTTAGATAAATCAAACAGTGTATACGACTTAGATATTTTTAGTCTTAACTCTAATCAGGATGCTTATTTGAATACTGAGTATAAACTCCCTAATCAGCGCATCCAAAGCCGATACTTTTCCCCGCATAGCTTCAAAATGCTTAAGGAAAACCTCACTGAAAACACGGTTGAGTCTAGTTTTTCCATCTTTCATAACAATATTGTGAGTATCCACCGCAATCTAGAAAATGTAGAATTGTTATTAGACGATTTTGATTTCCACTTTGATGTTATTGGTATCTCGGAAACAAAAATTACAAATTCTAATGAGAGCAACGCCCATCCGAGCATTCAAGGTTATGTTTTTGAGCATGTGCCAACACCACTGGCCTCTGGGGGCACTGCCCTCTTTGTTGATCAATCACTAAACTACAATGTTCTTGAAAAAACTTCAAATGATGCATTCCGAGCCGTCTGGGTTGAAATCGCTTTTGCCAACCATAAAAACATCGTTTGTGGAGTAATTCATCGTCAGCACAATTCGCCCGATTATTTCCTAACGTATGTAGATAAGACAATCCAAAAAATAGTGTCCGATGACAAGGACGTTTACATCATGGGTGATTTTAATATAGATCTGCTCAAGTGTGAATCATCTCAAATAAGCCAGGTTTTTTTCACTCTCTCTTCAAGCTGTTATCTTTTTCCAGCCGTGGACAAATCGACAAGCGTTCATAGAACTTCTGCTACGTTGATTGATGACACCTTTGTTAACAATCATGACCAACTCCTCGCTAGCGGAGACATTATTTCTGATATTAGTGATCATTTTTCGCAGTTCTGTATCACAACGTCAGCGAAAGATAAACTTCAACGAGTTAAAAATATAAAAATACGTGACTATTCAAGATTCTCTGCTGATCGCTTTAACGATGAGCTGTCTGAAGCTGCCGGACTGGAATCGAATAATTGAAAAAGGAACAAATTGTGTGAACAAATTGTTTTCATCGTTTTACAACAAATAAAATTCAATTGTTGACAAACAAGTCCCCAAGAAAAAATTATCTAATCGCAAAGCAAAAGAGGCTATCTAAACCCCGGATAACTAATGGAATTAAGGCGGCTATTAAGGTTAAAAGTAAATTATATGCATCTGGAGACGAAGTTAGGTACAAGCACTATAAAAGTAAAATTTGTACCCTGATACGCTTAAGTAAAAGGAGATACTATGATACGTTTTTCGAAAATAATATGGCCAACATGAAAAAAACTGGCAGGGAATCAATGAGCTTTAACATCGACGGAAAAAAAACTTAAAAGTCATATCTGCCTAAAGGATTTTAATAATCGCAACAAAATTGTTAAGGATGGTTCGCGGGTACCTAACATTATTAATGGCACTTTGCAACAGTCGGAAACAGGCTTGCTAACAAGCTGCCCATTCCCCAAAAACATCATCTAGACCATGTTGATGAGTGCAAATCTTCAATTTCATCCTTCCTTTTTCGACCCGTTTTACCCGAAGAATTACGGTCAGAAATATTACTTATACCGAATGATAAATCTTATCGTGATGGTTTATACTCCTCACCTACCAAACTACTCAAACGTTCAAGTGCCGTCATAGCTCCTGTTCTTACAGAGATGCTAAATACATCGATCAGATTAGGGACTTATCCATCAAAGCTCAAAATTGCTGAAATTACTCCAGTATTTAAGAGTGACGATAACACGGACGCAAAAAACTACATACCGATCTCTTTACTTTCAAATTTTAATAGAGTATTTGAGAAAATAATTTACAACAGATTGACGACCTATATAAAGAAACACGAACTTTTGTATTCCTCACAATATGGCTTTCGTAAGGGGCATTCAGCCAAACACGCAATAATGGACATTGCTATTGATATAAAAACAAACATGAAATCAGAGATTGCTATCTTGTGGAGTGCTCATTGATCTTAAAAAAGCCTGCGACACCGTCGATCACGACATTTTGCTTGATAAGCTCAATCACTATGGTTTTCTTGGAATAATTTAATGATTGATTCTCCTCATATCTCAAAAGTCGCACGCAAACAACTCAAGTAGGCCATCATATATCAGATAAAGCCGTCGTTGCATGTGGTGTTCCTCAAAGATCAATTCTTGGACCATTGCTTTTCTTGCTGTATGTCAATGATATCCACAGATGCTAGAATAAATTTAGGTTTTACCTCTTTGCAAACGACACTAACATTCTCTATGCGAACAAAAATCTGAAAGATCTTGAGACAGTAGTCAATAATGAGCTACAAAACCTTTATAACTGGTTGACAGCCAACAAACTAACTCTTAACTTTAATAAATCCAACTTTGTAATTTTTCATCCTCACCAAAAGCGACTTGCTTACCAACCAAAACTTTGCATGTTTGATAATGAAAAGAATAAATATGTTCGTCTCGAGTCTAAAGTTTACATAGAATACCTGGGCGTTCTTATTGATCAAAATCTCTCTTGGAAATACCACATTGATTGTTATAAAAATTACTAAAACTGTCGGGCTAATTGCAAAGCTTCGTACACCTCTCTGTACCTCGACCAACATTACTGAATATCTGTAAGTCACTAATTCATCCTTATTTAACCTATGGTCTTGCTGCTTGAGGGCAGGCATGCAAGACTTGTCTGAATAAAATTCTAATTCTTCAGAAAAGAGCTCTTCGTTTTCTGTACTTCGCAGACTGGCATAACCATGCAATTCCTTTATTTCCCGAAGATAACGTGTTTCCAACAACTTTTCTCTATTATGAGTCCGTATCAACCTTAATGCACGATATCAATAATGATAAAGCCCCAGCAAACATGTTAAATTTATTTCAGAAAACGTCTAATATTCACTCACACAATACACGATCGTCTACTTCTGGAAAGTTCTATGTTAAATGCTCTAGACTAGAAACGCAAAACAATTCTTTTTCTTGGCTCGGAGTAAAGCTGTGGAATAAGATAACACGCTATATAACGGATCCTCGAAAGAAAGCTTTCAAAAGAGTTCTCCGCAAATTGCTATTTGATATCTTAGAGAGGGAGGATGACTATATTCAAAAGTAGGTACATGGATACACTTGCTGAGGTTTTTATGTCTACTTTTCTTTTTCTGCGTTATCATTTAAGAGTCAGTGACTCCTTGTCTTAATGCACTGTACGTCAGTAAGCGCTGTGTTAATTAAATCACTCAACTCCGGTGTTTTATTTATTTTACGTCGCAATCTGCAAAGCTTTCTAATAGTTTAAGGTTTTTGTTTTTGCTAGATAATTGTGTCATTCATGTACTTGTCTTGCCCCGCCACGACTAGTTTTCAGCTTTTGGCGGGGCAAACTATCCAACTTTTGTATTTGTGTACAAAGAATAAAGTTGTTGTGCTAGGGCGTACACCACTTATGACAATAGGAAGGTTGTATATTTAACCCGTATTTTCCTGGCAGAATCAGACAGCATTAAGGTAACCCTGAGTGAGGTGTAAGCCAAATGGGTAAAGTAACGAAACAATGATCCGTTACCTGGGTAAAAAACGCGCCAAAAACAACCAAAAAAATTTACGCGTTACGATAACGCGTAGGAAAATATTTTCCCTTTCATACCTGGCCAAGAGCCGCGCCTAAAAGTTATTTCCTGATATCACGTTGATGGGAGAAAAACTCGTGCTTAGGCGCACACCACTTATGACAATTGGAAACCTGCAAGCTCAGAATAATTTGTGTATTTAACCCGTATTTTCCTGACGGAATCAGACAGCATTAACGTAATTCTCCGTGAGGTCTGTAGGTGTTAATTAATGAGGGCTCGTAAGTAGCACTTTCTTGAAGTGAAAATCTTTCTAGTGTATAGGGCTATTCTTGTGAGTCTATACAAACATTGTTAAATGACATTTTGGCAACTTAGCCCCCCAAAGCGGGGGCAACAAGACGCAAAAAACAAAAAAGAAAAAAAAGAACAAGAAGAAAAAACACCGTCCGCGGTCAGACGTTATCATGCGTTCGAGGAGAACTTTTTGGTGCTTTTCGTTTATTCCGTTGTGGAGCAAAAAACGAACGAGCGAAATCCAAACTCGGTTTAAAATGTTAGGGTTGCATCATAATACATTTGCATAGCCTAGTTTCGTTTTTGGTTTTTGTTAGTTTAACCCCATAGGCCATTGCACTAATCGGTTTTTAAACTATTACATTGACCTTCATAAGAGCAATCTACTAATGCTCAAAAAGTTCCTTTTTAAGACCAAGTCTACTGTAGAATCAAAAGCAATGCGTTTTGCTGTTAGGGATTGGAGGGCAACACCCCATTATGGATGGTAAAGATTAAAAAAGGGAAAAAATTATATATATATATATATATATATATATATATATATATATAACACTTTTAAGTTGCATGAAAAAACTACTAATACGTTAGCACATTACGGAAGGAACTCTCCAAAATTTCAGGCTGGTCTCAGGGTAGCAGATCACCCGAGCAGATCGGAAGAATACGAACTTCCTTCTTGATCGTTGCGTGATATTTAATTATAACTAACGAAATATTTTACGTGATGTTATTATTATAAAGTTCCGCTTTGACAATTGACATTTCTCTTTTTTTTTTCAGACAAAAGATTTACGTAATCGTATTTAGGGACATTCTTGCTTTTGTCCATACCTTTTTAAAGTCTAAATAGGATAAAAAGATACGGACATTTCCTTCCTTATGAAAATGTGTGGATCCGCTACTAGTCTCGTGTACTGGTACTTGCAGCTCAAGCGAGGAAAAAAAAAAACGATCGAAAATGGAATTTGCAGGTTTTTGTCTAATGTAACATTCATTGACTTTTTCGGCCTTGTCTTCAACCGGTGAATAAATTCTTCTAATTTATACACACTTTCTTGTTTTTATTACTTTGAAAGAGTTTGTATTACTTTTGCAAATACAGTATACTTAGTGTAACAACCAAAAAACACAACCCCGCAGACTTGAACACCAAAGCTGTATTTAAAGCTGTGACGCAATTATGGCCACAAGCAACATCCAGAATCTCGGTGACTCGTTTTAATTATCTGCGGGTGTTGCATGGTCTTATGCTTCCGATAAAGATGAAACAGTTAAAGAGTTATGTTGGAGCCCCGGGGTGGGGTTGGAGCCAAGTTTCAAGTTTTAAAAGTATAAGAGTATAGTCGTGATTTTCCCTACCTTCCAAATAGACGATCCATCTTTTACTTCCATTAGCTTTTCTCAAATAATACCTAAAATGTTTGGCAAAAACGTCAGAAGTTAATACAAGGAAGACGTTTAGTACGTATTTACTAGCAGGGAGCTAAGCCAGGGACAAACTGGCACACAGAGGAAACCTGAAATAAGCGATAAAATGACCTAATCAGCGTAAAATCTTTCTCAGCAATAATTGAGGATATTAACGACATAAACCTTGTAGCCTGATAATAATCTTTTTAATTATTCTAACACAAAAACGACGTTTTGCTACTTGTTATGAAAAGATAATCAAATTGATAAACGTTTTCCAATTCAAACATATTTGCGAAGGAAAAACTTGACTCGTTTGCACGGAAAAGACAAGTTCGTTAAAATAACCTCCATCACTCCTTTGTGTGAATTTTATTACGGAGTTAATTTCTAGTGATCTTTTTTAATGGATGAAGATCGAAAGGAACAATCAACGATGTTGCGGTCCTTCTTTATACGTTTTACCAAACCAGGAATCCATTACATAATAATTATTTCTACTTAGCGTTAGATTCTCTGCAGATGGGAGTTTTCACTTATCAAAACCACCACTCCTTATCATTTGGCAAAGACCAAAGCTGGCACCACAAGCCTATGAGAAATTTTGCGGTTCCTCCAGAACCGGGATAAACATCTTATCAAAATAAAACACACGCTCTGGTTAATCTTCCTTTTACTAAACAACATGTGGAAACTTTCCCCGGCTTTCGAAGGCGAAGCAAAGTTTCGTGACTACGGAACAATAAGAAACTTTTAGATGACCGGGGCACCCAAGGACGGTTTCCTCTTAAATACATTGAAAACATTGTTCAGGCTATCCAGAGTACTTTTAGGTCTCTAGAAATACGTTCTAACCGGCGCTATAAAATTTGTCACTGTTCGATCTTCCTAGGACAACTTCAGTCCTTTCGAAATTTTAAGGGCTTCAGTACTATTTTCCCGAAAATTCTAGATGCAAGTTAACGTTTTACGAAAATGAAAATTTTTCTAATTCTTCTCAGTCTCCGACGCATTTTTGAATCTAAAATTTGAGGTTTCTTTTTTTACGAAAAATAGCCTAACCTGGGGAGTGAAATGTGAAAAATTAAATCAGAAAATCCTAGGGGATGAAAATAGGGATGATATAAAAAATAAGTTTATAATTTGCTGAACTAGTAAATCAATTATTCTATTTGCTTAATCAAACAAACGTTTAAATCGTTTACTTAAAAACTTTTAACCGTTAATTTAGGACGATAAATTCTTTGACAATCGTTTCATCGTAATACAAATCGAAGACGGGAGATAGCGTGAGATATCAGCGAATTTCCGTTAACTCGTTGTCAATAGCACAAACGCGAATAACTTAAAGCGAATGAGCTTATCGATGAACTGAACAACTAGTGCTATTCATCAAGTGTGGAAAATAGACTAAAAAGCATAAACGTGCATTAATTTACTACGAATCTGCTGAAAAAAGCGCTTTCGTTGGAGGCTTCATAACATTTGTTGGACAACTTGCTTTATATCTGTAAGTAATTTTTTGTCGTCCGGTTAAACGTTAAACAGGAAGTCGTTAAATGAATGCAAACGTTGAGCACAAAAGAAGGGAAGAATTCGAAAGGGAAAGTAAAACTTTCTCCAAAAAATAACAAAAACAAAGCAGGTTAAATAACTGATTGAAATGACATCTTTAAAAAAAAGACAACTGAGGCACCAAACTGTCTTCACAAGTAGTTTGAGATAATTAACTACCAATTATTGAAACTCGACGAAGTAAAGTTTAGTAACAATTTACAGACGAATGCGCAATGTAATTCCTAGTTGTAAAAAAAACTTACGTCCAAAAATAGACTACTGAGAGCGGGCTCATTCAATTTAATCTCATTATTGCAGCATGAGTGAACGAATAGAACCTTTAAATTGCCCGAAAGCACTGCCCCCCAGAACGGGGTAAAGATCAAAGACGGTTTTTTTGGTACATAAACATGAAACATCTCTTTCTTAAATCTCTTTGCGAACCCAGTCATGTGATTCTTAAAACCCTTTCAGGGGTGCTAGACGATTCTCCTCGTGCGTGATACGATTTTTATAAAAGTTCTGATAAGTCGCTACTTTTTAAACGAAAAGGTCTTATAAGGAAACAATGTTTTATAACGTCACTGTTGATACGTCGATAACAACAATGCAAGACTAGGTACGGACACGAGTGAAAGAGAACAAATACTGCAAATTTCATGAAACATTTGGTAGTGAAAAAAGGTGAAAAACGAATCATGCCAAGAAAAGCTCTGTTCGGCTAATTTGATGAAACAGGTCAAACATAACGAACACACAGGAGGCGGAGGGTTGACTTACAGGACATAGAAAAGGTCAAATCTCACACTCCGAGAGTCAGTTAACTAGACAATTAACGAAGTACTAGCTTTAGGTTCTCTCCCCAAGTGTGACTATTCATCTAAAAGCTAGCTCTTCAATAGTTTTGTCTGGTGCGGGCGATTCTTCTTAGGCCAACTGTTCGGGTGAAAAATTTGCCGCTGACTAGTGAGCATTCTAGTAAATGAGGAGTTTTAATATGTTATCTCTCACTTACCCTGCCGTAGTACCGTCGTTACATGTGGCGTTCTTGTCAGCAAGGGTGTGTAATTCCATTTGGGACACATCGCTAGGGCAGATTTGGGAAAGGTAGGCGACTTGAGCATTGAGCTCCGCCTTGGTGTCATTTAAGGCACAGTTCACGTGTACAACTGAAAAGACTGCCACGCAGATGAAAACACGGAACTGGGTAAAAATACAAACAAACGAAACAAATGTCAAGGTTATTTGTTTAATAAACGTGCCTCACGCATAGCTTAAGTTCCACAAAGTGATAAAGCGAGCAGGAGGAAATCCTTTCGTTTACGTATATAAGAACAACAATTAGTGGAAAAGAACCGTTCGGTAACCGGATAAATACTTGCGGAAACTTTCTTCTAGAGTGAAACAATTATAAAAATACCACCTTGGGTGGAGCATAATGCTTCCCTCTAACGTTAAGTAGTTTGTCGAAGTTTCTTGATCATAAAAATTAAGGACTTCATGAGCGAAAAATCTAAGCTTATCTACCAATAAAGCAGTACGGTTTGGTAATCTCTTTCTTTACCATAACTACAATCGAGCCAGTCTTAGTGTTTTCGATTAGTTAGCAAATTGAGCATCGTAATAATTAAATAACTGCTCCCAATTGTGGTAAATTGATTTCTTAATGAAATAAGATGACGATCAGATACGAATAGGGTTCAACAGATAACGTCAGTACTTAAAATGGTAAAATGTCGAAAAGAAATTGTTAATGTTGCTTGGTACTTCAACTTACCATTTTTGCGCAAAAACAAAATAATTCTTCGTTCCTTTAAGGTCTTGCACTATGTTCACCAACAGTTTTCTTTTGCAATATGCGAGGGGATGAACTTGAAAGTTATCGCGACTGCTAATGTGCGTTCTACAACAACAGATCTTTGCTACAACTGCCGAAAAAATAATGGATTTTAAACAACAGGCACCGCAAACAGGAGTCAGAAGTAATGAAAAGTGGGAGCACGAGCAGTCTTTTGTAGCTTGCTCAACTCTGATAGCTGCCGTGGATTGGCTGCGGCGAGTAGAAAGGCTTGCGCTAATTGGTAATTATCAAAATCAATCAATGCAGTTACCGCGAGACTTAATTAGAACCCTTCAATTAAGCACATGGGCACGCCATTGGAGCATCCGCTAATACTCTAGGCAGTGATACCGATAATCTAACATAAATATTTACATATTATTTTTTTTATTATTTATATATTTTCTTCTGATAAGAAACTCGACGCGCACGCGTTAATGCAGAAGACACAGGTGCCAACGTATGAAAACTTGACGACCTCTCCAGAACCTTCCAGCGAGAAAAAGAGAACCAACTTCTCAGCAGAGACGGGGACTAAATTAGGCAATAAGTTGGTCAGCACGTTCCTTGCCCACTTGGGACAGAAGTCGGTTGATCAAAGAATAGTTTTCATTGTGACTAGAAGGATCAAAGAAAAATGCTCAATACCGCACGGCTGGAAAGCTGGCTTGCCTCTTCGAGTATAATTGATTTTTGAACGGTTTCACCAAACAGTAAGTGCCAAAAAAGCGTATGGAAAAGTTCAAATCTCCGGGCTGTTAGAGCACTTAAAGCCGCTTATTTAATCTTCGTTAAGTTAATACCATCAAATCTTCTTGTTCTCTGCAGTCACGAAATTAAATATGCGACTTATTTTTATGTTTATTTGTTACTTGAGCAGCAATGCGAGGAAACAAACGCGTTTAGTCGCAGGTTTCTCACATTAACTCCTTTGCGAACGGTAATTGAAACTGTCCTCTCTTTCGTGCGTAACCAACAGTGAATAGACATTCTGGATATTTTACTAAGAGAGTATATACTCAATTAAACACCCAATAAGCAGCCCTCGTCACTCTCTTGGGTGTCATTTAGTTGAGGAGCCAAAGGTTAAAAGATTTAAGTATAAAGTGCTGCTAAAGTGGCAAGCATAACCGAGGAATGAGATATAACGTAGCCGTTTTTTTGTAATAATTAATATTAAAATTTTTCTTGGGAGCTGCTAATTATGAGTTCCAATAGTAAATTTTTTTTTAGGCAGATACTGTTCACACTAATTTTTTTTTTCGTCATATACCGTACACACTGAATTGTTAAACTGTAATATTGCAAAACAGGAAAACACCTCAATCATAAAGGATGTGACGAGTTTTCGTCTGAAGTAACGAGAAAAGATTAAAAGGTCTTCAGAAAAGTTCACCTTAAGTTCTATTTTCTGGAGAAAGAAGCAAGCGGTGATAAGATTTTTTAGTCTTTCCGGAGCGGCGTGGGAAAAGCTAGAAGTCTCTGGCTAAGGGCTTCAGGATCAGCTAATAATTATATATTAAAAAAATCAATTACAAAAAGCAGACGTGGACTTTATTTTTTGCTATGTCGTGAAAAGCCGCTACATGAGCCTTACGTAACACTCATCTGAGAAATAAACTGCAAGGTTTCACGTCATGCGATACTGCAAATTTCCATGTTACCTGAAGTTATTAGAGGCATTTCAAAGAATAGGGTGGAGACATTTTTCACAACATGGTTCGGGATCTTCCAAGATATATTTTAAGAAATTCTTTTTTGTCAACGTAACTGACCGTTTTTCTGTTCTTCGTCGGTGTTTACTTTGCTTTGTTTGCCGCAAAAATTGTTACCTGCATATCTTGGCTTAGTTTCTATTTGTTGAGCAAATAAAAAAGATAATTTACACTACTTCTGTTTTTGGTTTGACGGGTCTGACGTATAACAAGTTAAACTTCTAGTAGATTATCTATTTGTTAGCGGGCGGTTACTTCATTGGCACATCTTCCCTTTTTTTGAACCCATTTGCGATTAAATTTCTCAAGAGAAACTCCAAAGCCCAGGAAGTTCTTTGGTGGCTGTTGCACTAAAAAAATAGCAATTTTCTCAGCTTCGCCCCTTTCAGAAATTCGAACCATTCCACAACCATTTGCAAGGCATGAAATCTACTCTACTTCTCTCAGAAAAAAAAATTGAATGAATGAATGTTCATGGTTTAAGTAAAAACGTGTAGACCGGGCTTCAGTTGAGAGCGTAATAACGGTTAAGAAATACATGCATGAGGTCAAAAAGATCAAAGCTGAGAGCAGACTCCTTAAAAACACTACAAACGCCGCATGAATTACTTAATGTATGAAAGGTCTATAGAAGTAAAATAAGCCATCTGTTAGTATTTATCTAAAGCGTGGAGCCTTCTCGAATGGTTATCAAGATTTTAACACATCATTATCATCACATGAGAGCTACGCCAGAAAAAAGGGTTTCACTGGCGAAAGGGCATAAAAATGTTTTTATAAAAGCGTAATTTAAAGAAAATTACGAACGGAAGCCTTGTCATTACCAAAAATTTACCTCTAAACGTACAATTAAATCAATGAAAAACCGTCCACTGTTTCTGCAACCAGAGCTAGATTCCAGCAGGGGCCATATCAAATTGCGTAAAAAGAATTCATTGAAACGTTTAATAACTTCGGTTTGTTTAATACAACAAAATTATGTCAACACGCACAACAAAGAATTCTTACGGTGAAAACGATAGTCACTGGTAGGACGACATCAGGGGCACCCAACGTCAATTTTCGGAAAATATCTGTTCGGAAGACGATTTGAGATCTAGAATTTTCGGAACATTTGTTGTAAAATTTCTTGCTTGCCTGCTCCTAGGATTTTCGAACATCTAAAAAATGGTATAATTGCCCAATTTCAACGGATTTTTACCCTAAAAAGGTCACCTAGAATTTTCGAGAGCCTTTTTTCCGGCTGAAATTTTCGAAAAGGTAAGTTTTGATCCCTATAATTTTCGGATCACTAGACTTTCAGCTAGGAAATCCGAACAAATGAAAAATTTTTAGGGTATAAAAATATGCCTATATCTACCGTTTAAATACTAAAATACGTTTAACAATGCCATGTTTAAGTGGTTTTGAACTATATTCTCATTGGGTGCCCCTGACGACATCAAGGGCTGCTAAACTGCACCGAGATGGGGGAGAGCGTGCGTGAAGATGTGAGCGAGCGACGCAAAGGGAACGGTATCATTGAGCCCTTCTGGTATGAATTTGAGTGAGCGTTTAGTGTAACTGTTTTGTTGAAGTAGTGGGTACAGCTTAGCGTTTTAGAAGACGCAATCTTTACTGGTCTCTGCGCGGAGGATATAAACCAAAAGTAGCTGCAGGACTCAGTAACTTCTAAGATTATGTAACAGTGTGAGTGTGCGCGCGCCGCTGAGGTCTGGTCTGAAACCGGGTACGGAGAATCGAATATCTTGGTGTGAAATAGGGCCAGGGTTGCGAAAACCAAGTTGCATACCTCGACCCTCGAAATTTCTGTTGGCTCGTAAGAAAAAAGGCCGTAATCACCGGGAAACAAAAGGCAAAACAGTGGTTTATCAAGCTTTCAAAATGGTTTCATCGAAACTTACACGTACGGGGTGCTTTACCTGGGTCATCAAACGTGCGTTTATGCTATATCTTTGTCGGCTTGTAAGAAACCAGTGTAAGCCGAAATAAAATGAATATGTGGTTTATTAAAATTTTAATTCTATCACTTTAATCGCATTGGCATAAGTTTCTTTTTGACGTTGCTTCAATCGCATCTGAAAACGTGCGCCCAGTTAACTGAAAAATACGCCTTCTTTTCCTAATATTTGAACTTTCCTATGGCTGATTGCTTTATTAAACAAAACTCGTTGTATGTAACATGCATTACGACTTCAGGTATCTTGACAAACATTTAAGATATGTGTTTCATTTGGGACATTACCGTTCTGGCCGGCACACTATCAAGATCAAGCACATTTCCTTTCCAGTCTCGAGCGCTGATCAGAGCAAGTTCCAGAAAACACCTCAAGAGATAACCAAGTCTCATAAAGTTTTCTTGCATGTTTATTCCGACGGTATCAAAATTGGCCGGATAAAGATTAGTAAAAGAAACATGATAGGAATTTAAACGTGACTATATTGTTAAGGCATTCTTATAAAGTGTGCGATACACAAACAAGCGCACCAAAAATCTGACCAAAGCAAACTCAAAAGGTTTATCTTGGTTTTGCTAAAGATTGGTTTAACCCCTTGGCCTTTAAGGGAACTCCCAAGGCCAAAATCAAAACTTCCTAGATTCCACGTTTCGAATTCACCTAAAGCTGGAGTGAAACGTTCAGTGACTGAATTTCTCATGCAAAAAAAAATCTATCTTCCCACCGAACAATGACTGAATTTTGCCGTGAAGACAGAAAATCCATTTATCGGTATTACGGAGGTTTTACACGAGTGATAATTAGAAGTAAACAAAGGAAAAGATTAAAACATTATGACATTTATGCTTTCATTCATCCAGTGATTGCATAAGCCGGACGTGAAAGCTTAGGAATTGCATCACTTTTTACTTAACTAAATTTGCTTCATGAAATGCAACATTAGGCTTTCCGCTGCATTAGAAAGTTGAAGAAATCACGTATTAAATGTTGATGAGAAAGTTGTTTTAGCAGAAGTAAACTACAAGAGTTAACATCTTTTGAATAACAATAGTTGTTTTTCAAACGTATTCTCAGCAGTTTAAAGGAGTACCTTAGCAGTATACGTATTCCGATACTGTAAGCTTATTATTGTTTGAGAGTCTATAGGGCCTCTCCGTAGCCTTTTAAACAGACCAAAATCCAATAGACAAATCAAATTATGGAACTCGTTCTTGCGATATTATTTAGTTTTGTTTACATGATTAGTCTCTTCTTGTAAGTCACGGAGACACGCAATGACCCCTGGAATTTAGAGTGAATATATACATGGATTACAATCACACTTCCCGTCAGCTAATTTTAAGATCCGGAACAGGCCATGTGGTCAACGAAAACAGTTTAAGAAGTGTTGGGTTAAATGAGATTCACCTAGGCTATTTTTATTCGATTTTGGTTGAAATCGTCTAAAACGCCACACCCATTTTAGACAAAGGTAAGTCATTCCCTTGTTGATACTTTTCAACCTTTGTCTTTATTATAAAGTTTTTAGAGTGGATCCAGAAAAGATTTAGACCAGCATTGATATCCAGTTTATATTTGACCCGTACATAAAGACCCGTGTTAAGACTAACGTGCTCAAACAGCCCACAACCAAGAAAATTGCAAAAACCGCACCCTTTTGTTCCGTATATCTACACCGGATGTGCGTGCCACTTGTCGGACTTGTAAAGGAGACAGGCCCATTGCAAAGAAGTCATGTTAGAGAGTTTTTTTATTTTTACTTATGTGTCACTTTGCCACAAAGCATAAATAGGTACATTAAACAGGGGAACTCGGAAACAATTCTCGCATCCGTTCATCGCATCCACAGGGCGAAGTCCAACTTGTAGGGTACAAGAGCAGGCAGTGAATAATATAGAAGTCCATCAAGCTTTTGTTTAGGTATCGAGGAAGATTAAATCCGTCAAGACTATTTTCGCGTGTCTTTCACACGTGCGTCATCCACGCAACAAAACTGAGACAGAGCCAAGTGTCCGTATTACAGAGGAAGGAGATGTAGGAAGGTCTACCTGTCCTGTACATAATTAAGAGTTGTCCAACTCGTTGGAAATGTGCTACTCGACTGTAGCTGGATAACGCCTAGCTTTCAAGGGATTATTCCCCAGGCACTCTTAAATTAATAGAAAAAAATGAATAAGAGACGAATTACCCTAGAAATAACGATTGCACGGTGAATATACATTTGCACTACGTAAACGACTATCATAGTCTGCAATCCAAGTACACAGCCTTGCCCAAGTTCATCCCCACAGACGTTGGGCTCTAAATCCAGGCGAAAAAGCAATGGTTCAAATCAAACCTCGCCAGCAGGGATTTTTATTCTACCGTATTTTTACAACATTTGAATTTGAGATTAGTTTATCGGCTATGAAATAATTTGTCGGACAGCTGTGCCATCTAGATTCACTGGTTGAAGAATATGACAGCCAGCAAGGCTGTCATAAAAGTTTCAAGCTGCCGAGTAAATTATACAAGTAGGTGGGGAATCAAACAGCTAGGGATTTTGTTTGGTTCTATTTTTCTTCTATTTTCCTACAAAAGTAGCAGGGGATCACGTTCATAATAGCCGGGGGAGATCCCTGGCCCCCGGTCCTTAACGAAAGCCCTGGAAAGGGTAGGGAAGGCTGTCATTTCGGTCTGTGAAAATGACCTAAAAGAGCCAACAGACGCCTCTTATGGTTGTGAAAGAGACAAGAAAACTTCCTGGTTTAGTCATAATTAAAAGACGGTGAGTTTACGACAGTAAAGTATGCAGCGTATGATACAGTACGTATGTGAAAGGGCAAAGAAAGGGGTACCATTTGTCTATAAAAATAAACCGAAAGGGGTACTTTTACTGTGAAAAACGGTATATGAAAGGGTAAGCGGTTGGACCACCTCGGGGTGGAGCTACTCCGTATAAACTTTGTTGAGCCTCTCCCCCCCGAGACACACACATTCACACGCACCGGGTTTATACAGTAATCCCATTTCTTTCTCTTTCGTGAGCGAGGTTTTTTCTTTTAACTCTTAAGCGTAATTATCTCGTGGTCAAAGGTTCAAGGTAACCCACAGAAAACGTCGAGTCTTATCCATTCACGGAAGTATAGTTGACCTGGTCACATATAATAACTAGTTATTCAATTGAATTGCCCAATTGACTATATTCTTACTTCTACTACCATTTTCAACTACTTTAAAAATCACAACAAGGCACAGCTTGTATATTGCTACTGACAGCAAATGATCGTTTCTAGCTAAGTCGAAATATGGTTGTAAATTAACAGCCTGCCTTAAGACCATTCAAGTAAGGGAATGGCGCCGAGCAATTCTTCTACTGCTGCCATTTTTATCACGCTGTAAAAGATGGTTTTAACATTTAAGTCTGTCAGGAAATCCTGAAGTGAAGAGCTAATTAGCTTCTACAGTGGTACAGTTTATTTTAGGTTAGATTCAAAGGCTGGGATTGTGCTTAACTTGTGACCATTCACAAGGACGTGACTTGCATTAGATTTTGTAACGTTGGCACTAAAACTGCCGCCCAGTATTTTCTTGTCTCTGTACATCGTCTTGCAATGTATCTGCTTTCACAAGAGCCGCTTGGTAAAACCAATCCATAGGAAAATATTAAGAAAAGAAACGAGGACCACTTACTCGGCACTAACAAAACCAACATTAAATTTCCCAAATGCGCTGTGCTTACTATTCCCCGAATTTTGCCATTTATTTCGACAGATGATTTCAATCTGGAGTACGAGCTAGCCCTTACATTTCTGAAATCCTGAAAGATAAGCAATCGTTTTAAGACTCATAAGTATAACCTAGCAGCGGAAAATGAAACAAAAGCCACGCCCTCAATACGATACACTCTAACTACTTTAATAGCTCTCCGAAAGATGCAGCCGAACCTCGCCTCAAGTTTTCTACACCCCGACAAAACATATTCTATGAATGAATTTGAATTATTGACAAAGGGTACTGTTATACTTTTACTTTTCAACGTTACTATGGACTGTCTTGCAGGCCTGTATCGGTGAAATGCAATATTGATCTGCGACAAGCTTTAAGATTTTCTTTTAAAAACTGTTGCCTCCACGACCTAGTTTAGTCTCACTAGTCAAATGACTTGGTTTGCACACTGTTTAGAAAACTGAGGGCACTGCTTCAGCAGATATGTTTATCTCGTTTATGTAACTCATCTATCTTACGTGCGTCTTAAAGAAATACATAACTATACCTCAACAGAGATCCTTCATATCCTGATCTCTTAAAGAGAGTTTTATTGATCAACGGATTTGGGCATTAAACTACTCAGATTTCACAGGTTATCTTTAGCAGATTTTAATTTTGAATTTTCTAAAATACTTTTTCAATATGGTCCTTGTTTCAAGTGTGGGTCTTAGAACTTCCTTTAACCATCTAAACTTTTATCACACCTCTGAGCGAATCTCGATATACACCATCTAATGTTCTACCCTGTTATTGAAAGAATTCCGAAGCTAACAGAAACAAAGCATCAATATCTACCTACTTACTTTACCACTACGGGTTAAAAATCGTGCGAAAACGTGGATTGCATGGTTTAGACATTCGGCTTTTCGCGATAATATCTGTTGATTTCGGGATTTTCTTAATTTAGCACGGATGTAACCACTTCTAACACTCTCATAATCCAGCCACGGCAAAACCTTTTCTGTTAAACTCATTACTCTCCAAAGTCTTAAGCATAAATTCTGCAACATCAGCGCGTGTAATGAAATACTTGGTTCCAGTGTTGCACTGTCCTTCTTCGACTTTGTAATTCCCTGTCCGTTCGCCTAAAAAATACGGTTAGACCTATGTTAGTGTCTATTTGATTTTGCATATAGTGACCTTTTTAGGTTTTTGTTGCTCTGGAAGAGTTCCTCTCTACTTATGCTATCGCACATCGGAACCTCTTCACTCTCACAAGTATTCGATAACATGAATTTCAATTTTTTTTTTTTTAAATGTTCTTTGAAAAAAACAAGCAGAACTACGAGAAAGTTTTAGCAAAGAGGTTTTATTTGAACGGTTAAACCAATGAAAGCATTTCGTTCACAGCCTCATAAGTTAAAAATACATCACAAGACACTCTGGGAGCTGACTGAAAGGATTAAAAACGAGCTCGGCCACGAAGGGTTGGCTATATTTTATGCTTATATATTCCTAGTTAAACAAGCTTAAAATTACAAATCGGTTGACGAAATACTTTTTAGCGAAAACATCATGACCACAGAAGAGCTATTATGATTCCCGAGCATTTTAGGCCACACCTTCTCCCAAATAGTGACAAACTTAACAGAAGCGGACCGCTGTTTTTCAAGTTAACCTGAGTGCAATCCATTTTAATCCTCTTCAGTTCTGCTCATGCCCGCTTCTTTTCGTGCTTTTCTGTAATTTGTGTTGTTCAACGGTTTGAGGGTCTCCATGGGGGGTGAGGCTCCTGGGGTTGACTGTTAGCCATAAAACGGCCAAACATCTCAGCCTTTTCCTTTTAATTCGGGAAAGTCCTGAAAGATGTGTTTTGCAACAATGGAAATTGATACAAAAACTCCTAAAGCACAATTTTTTTTTACAAATGAGCAAAGAAACGGTAAAAAGAAACCGATATTTTCATCGTTAACATAAGCTCCTGCCGTTAAAACCATAAATGCCTTCGCCCTATATATTGAGACCCTCAATTCTGATATCTGATTGGTAAGTGCGTACCAGAATTGCCTCAATAGAGCGATCTTGCCTCTTTAACACCTGAAGCCCATTTATTTATCAGCATCTACTCTTTCCTGTTAATATCACTCAAAAACTAGTCAACAAAGACAAAATGTCTCCTTTTAAAAAGATTCTCAGTATTATAGCACTATCAGATTTAAAACCGCTTGTTGATATTAGAGATAACTTGGCAATGTCAAGTGGCTTATTCCGTTTTCCGGTCAAAGGATGCTAAAATTATATTTCAATACCTTCTTCTCGCACGGATTGTTTCAAGATCACCAATGAAATGAAATTAAATCAGGGTTCGCGAGCTACTGTTTCCAAATACAGCAGAACCCCGGTAACACGAACTCTGGGAAACGACAAACAGTTCGAGTTAGCGGTGGTTCGAGTTATCGGAATCGATTAAATATTCAATTTGCGACTTATAATTGCCGGATAGTTACTGATTTTCAGCAGTTCCGTGAGTATAGTACAGTGCAAATTTACTTATTTCATCAAAAACGGCATGATTATGCATCTTTACCATAAAACGTGATCTGTTCGTTGCACCAATTAACAGCAAATTGCAGGAGGGTTAGTTTTTGTGTTTTTACCAATTATACAACAATGAGAGCTGGTGGGATGGCATCCGAGTGGGGTTTAAAAGAATTCGAGTTATCGAGAAGTTTCAGTGAATTTTTGGTCTAGGCAAGGGAAATTTAGTTCCAATTAGCGGGGAATTCGACCTATCCGAGTTCCACTTAACCAAGTAAAAATGACCCAAAGGGGGGTGCAAGCCAAGGGAAACAGACCTCAGTTCGACTTAGCGGGGAGTTCGAGTTATCGAGGTTGTATTGTACGTCACACTTGTGTCAAATGGTTTTCTCAATGATTAAGAAGGCTGTTTGGTTACTGCCCTAAATAAATTTTTATCTGCTTGGATGCATGGGGGAACTTTGGTCGCTTCGAAAGTGTTGGGTGGCTTTTTCGTCTCATCCGAAAATGATAGCTTCCCTGATGGGTCTGGTCGAAAGTTCGAGAACATGGAGTAACCGTACTTTCATCGGAAAATTTTAAGGGACGTTTTTGCCATTACACCGAAATTTTCAGGAGACCTTTTTTAGCAATACGTAATCATCATATATTGGTGATAAAATGTGAAAAACACATCCTCAGAAAATCGTAGGTAAGATGGTAGAAAAACTCCGAATATCTTCGACAAATGGGAATGTTATCTGCAAATGTTTAAGCCTTTCTCGAGCTTTAGACATTTCTTGGCAATAATTGCTCCTTCGAACAATTAGTTTTCAGTAAAAGGCACGAAAAGTTATTTCATGTGTAATTTTCTAATTTATTTATACTTTTCTACTGCAAAAGAAAACAGCATTTTACAATAACTGAGCGATTTCCCGGGCACTGATTGATTGAGAGCCATTGTCCATGCGAGTATAGTGCATGGACATGACACGATGGTATTCTCCGTCGCACGCACGCGATTTTCCAATAAATTTAGCCGGAAATTTTTGTTAAAACTGTCAGTGCTATCGCAAAAAAGAAATAGACCATAGAACACGCAGACCACGGTTTTCTTCTAGAAGTCTAAGTGCCTTCTAATTTTGTTCAGCACGACTTATACATTGCAGTCGCCCTCAATGTCGTTCCACTCCTAAAGAGCGTCCGCCGACTTTATTAGTTGGAAGTCTAAAGTATCACGCGAGATTCCGCTATTGTTCGTTCTATCACCTTTTCTTTGTATGACAGTTGGTTTCTACTGTCTTTCTCGCTCCCTTTTCTCTGACATCTTAGCGGAGAGGGAAAAAACGTCGTGGACTACTCAAAACAGGTCCGCATTCATATCGTGCGAGTTAAAGGAACCCGGAGATGGCCAACACCATGAGCAAAGTAAGTTGGGTCAAAATCTTCAAGAAAGTCATCCCGGTTCTCACCAGACCGTTAGAATTGAAACCTGGACACTTTTTTCGATTGTTGAAAAAAGGTATACTTTGGTTTTTTTTAAAAAAGAGATAAAAAAAAGAAGTCAACCAACAATACTCTACAATACTCAATACTCCACTAGACTCAAGTCGTCAACAACTAGAATCCACTCTAGTCAATTGATCAGTACCGTGTCCTGACTATAAACTATTATCATTATAGTATTACCTATATTATGCTAACTAAATTCCAAGTGATGAGTCCACAATATTTTATGGTAACGTACGTACCACAATTACATGGGAAGACTGCAAATTGTGGATGGAATATCAAATGGCTCACGCCATTCCGTTAGGGGAGCTGTGATTTGCGGCACTTCCGAACCACGCACATGGTAGTAATTTCCTTTGTTTACTATTCATTAATATTCAGTGAATTTTCAGAAAATACAAGCTTACCATTGAACAATCCGCATGGTCTGACTATGGTGTAGTCCAACGATTCAGGTTCCGTTTGCTCTAACATTCTCTCCATGGTACCCATGTCTTTGATCATGCCATTAAGCAACACAGGATTAATGAACCAGTCAACCAGCCACCTATTGTTTGGCCCTGGTTGGGTACACCATGCTGTCATTGTAACCAACCGTTTCATGCCACACCTGTCATATTAGAGACCAGCACAAACGTTTTAGCTTTTTCTATGTCTCGAGGATCTTGCTGTTTTAGGTCAATTCTGTGCTGAAGTCATTACTTAGTGCCTTACCATACACAAAATGCTCCTATAATATAGTTATAATCGATCGTGTTGAAGTCGTCATGCAACTCTCAAATAGCTTTCCTAATATTCCAAGGTAAAGTTCCATTAAAAAAGAATAGACATTTATAGAAACCCCCAAAAAACTTGGCCTCTTCACGGTCCATGTGTACAAGAGATAAATATTGGATAGAGGTAAAAAATGCTACAAAAAAATTACCACAGCATTATTTACAAGCGGAAAAAAATGTCACCAGATCAAAAAGGCGAGAACATTTGAACTCTTCGCCAGCAAAGCATCCAGCTCTTTCAGAAACTGGGATTTGTTCAGCAAGAAACTAATCCCAAAACATATCGCAGTTTGCTGAATCACTGGATCTTTCACCATAGCGTTCATACATGTACATGTATGCCCCTAGCAGATTATTTTTTATCAACAAATGTTAACTTAAAAAATGTCTAATAACAAATATTTAAAAAAATACTAATTAAAAGAAACAAATACAAATGGTCACAGGCTAAATCCCTGTGGCCTGAATCATACATTTTACTGATAAAGTAAAACAATTCTGATAAGCAGTAAGTATGATATTCTTCTACAGGGTTCATACAATAAATTGCAACCATTTTTCAAGGACAACATTAGATTTTCAAGGACCACCTACAAGAAATATAATTTTACAGATTCTACAAAAATGCACATTCCCAGTCTATTCTAATAAGGCTTTAAGCCTTGAACTGTTTGTTTCACCAACTTCTCTTCTCTTTCAGTTCAGTTGTCTTAACTTGATAGTTAATTATTGCATAAAACATTGAGCACTTTCTGTAAGTAACCTTTAAATTCTCTGAGCTATGATTCATATCCTGTCTTGGACAACCAAAAAACATCAAAAAACACTTTCCAGGTCACTACGTTCAAAGTAGAAGAAAATTCAAGGACTTTTCAAGGACTTGGGTAGAAATTTAAGGACTTTTCAAGTAAAAATAGGATTCAAGGACCTTTCAAGGACTCCCCCTAAAATTCAAGGACTTTTCAAGACTGTGCGAACCCTGTAAATCTATAAATACATATTTTACAAGTGTTAAACAGGTAAACTGAGATATCTTTTGCTCCAAGTATGTCCCAGCCTAAAATTCATATTAGGGACTTTAAGATCCAACGATGCGGACAACAACGAGAATGTCAAAAAAACAATAGGTTTCATAGGCAAAACAACAACTTCGCACGTGCATCACACTTTTTTGCACATTTCTTTCCCATTTTTGCACGACTACAATGTGAAAATGCCTAATTTCACATTTTATGGAGGACAAGCAACGACAAAATTTTATTTCTCTTTCTGAGCTTGGCTATGGTCCCTTGAAATTCAGCTTTGGGAGGGTTCGTCTACAACTGACAAAGTATGTGGGTAGGAATAATCGCTATTAAGACTGAAAAAATGCAAGTTCACTTTTTAAGCGATGTTCTTGTCCCTATTATGGGCTTGAGAGAACCTCTGTTAAACGGTCAACCTCTATTAAGCTAATTCCCGAGGGTGACTGCTTAACCCTTTAAGTCCCAATAGTGACCAACAGCAATTTTCTCCTAACAATGTCTATACATTGCCAAGAGATAAGGTTGTGAGAATATAAAAAATGATCACGAAAGAGTAAATGCCTTGATGTTTTATTAAATTCTCTCAACTAATTCTTAAAGGAAATGTATGAAGATCAGTTTGGAGAATTTGTATGTGGATATTGAGGCTTGAAGGGTTAATAGAGGTTTGACTGTATTGCAAATTATAAAAAAAGTAATATTAAAAATTGTGTCTGTGCCAAAGACAGACAAACTCCCTTAATTCAGATGCGGGTGCTGGTGGCCACAAGCAACACATCAGGGAAGAGGTGATCTTGTGTGGGCTGCTTAAAAGTAGCTGGCCTGTGGCCACCAGCTGGTATGTAGAAGATAACCCTCATGTCAGGCACTTGAATCTGGGATGACAACATATCTGCGAAACTGAAACAATTAATGGAAAGCTGAGTATTACAATCAAGCCAGGTCAAGCGTGCCCTCGTAGATTCCATCAATGAATTGATTATTTGAAAAAAAAATTAATCTGTTAGTCTGTGTTGCAACCAGTATCAAATTCAAATCTGCATTCCTACAAACACAATGAGCAGTGCATTTTTTGTGATAACTTATCTGTATTTGTTCAAATTGAAAATCTTTGAATAGATAAAATTGCTCCCAAGACATTTACAGATGTATATCAAATTCAAGGAAACTGAGCTGGTATAAATTTCATAACACCATATGTGAATTCACTGCTCATAACACATGAAAGAATGCGGAGATGAATTGAAATCTAAAACCACCAACGGATTCAACTTTTGAATAATAAAAAATTCATCAATGGAATCTTGGAGGGTATGCTTAACCTGGCTTGACAGTAATTACAGGAGAAAAACTTGAGCCAATTATGCTGACAATGAGGAAGATGAAAATGATGATTATGATTATGATTGAAGCCTGTATGAGTGGCTCTATATTTTTTACATACCTTCTCATTCCTTCCAATATAGCATGCATGGACTCTGAGTAGAAAGTTGTTGGATTGAAAATACTTGCAACAACACCTAAACAAGACATCACAGCATCTTTTCCCTTCACCACAGAGGCAAAACTTTCAACATCACAGGCATCTCCTTTTACTACCTCCAAGTTAGCATGCCTAAAAGGCAGACAATATAGATGATAAGGATTAACATAGAGATCTCACATCCTGCAAAATAGTTTGCTAGTCAACTCATCATAATGGCAATTATTAAATAATTATTATTGTTATTAACTATTTTAAATCTTGTATTTACCACCCACCCAGATCTGTTAGTGGCACTTTTTTGGAACAAGGAATGATTGACCATAATGTAGTCAAATGCAACATTGATTCCACCACCAACAAATCCACCAAGGTTTGTTTACCTTTACAAGCAAGCTTATAATAAATAATCTGAACATTGAGACATTTAGACATAGCTGCCATTTGGCTGTTTACAAACTAAAGATGGAAGGTAAAATGTGACCCTCCACAGGATTTTAATGCTAAAGGTGAAAGCACGCGCACGACACGCTTTCACTTTAAAACAAAAGAATTTATTTTAACACGCTTTAGCACGCTTGCAATCTTGCCTCATTAGCAATTTCTTTTGTTTCAGAGGACACGCCTGAGACAATTAAGCGTGAGCAAGTCGAACAAAAGAGCGTGTTAAAGTTTTCAAACAAAAGCTCAGTGCGAAAAAGCACAATACGCTTTCAGTGTGCGCAAAAGCACGCAAGGCGTGTTATCTATAAGCTAAATAAATTTCCTCTACAAAAAGGAATCGTAAATGATTATGAACGGCACCCTTTTTTGGTAACCATCGAGAAAGAAAAAGTTATACCTCAGCGATCGCAGCGATAGTATCTGATTGAAAAAACCTTGTCGCTTGAAAAGTATAAACAGTGAACGGTGTGACCTACTGGATTTATGGGTAGAACTATATTAGCATTGCAAAATCAAAGTTCTTTCCAGAAATGTTTACTGACAAAGCTGTGCAAAGGTTATCTTAACTTTCCTTAATTTAAAACACATTTGCAATTTTCTCAGAAACAGTGATGTTTCGGACTTAAGACACTTTCTCAGCATTATTTTCCCGAAAAATTTAGCTTCCAATTGAAGGTTTTAGGAAAGTGAGAATTTTATCGTATTTTCGGATCCGAAAATTTTAGGATTCCTTAATTCTCTACGAAAAATAGCTTAACTGGGAAATGAAATGGAAAAAATTAAACTTCAGAAAATCGTAAGGAATTTATTAGATAACCTTCGAAAATTGTACATGCATGGAACAGTCATCTAGAGATGTTTAGCCTTCCTCAACCTATAGAAAATTCTAGGCAGTTTTTGTTTCTACGATTTAATTACCTTCGTTCGTCTCAGCATGGCTTAAAAGATATATTAAACTAATTTATTCAACTTCATTTCTCTGTGCATTACTGCTAATAAATATTCCCGTGGCATAACTATAATTTCAGGCGACATAACTTCAGTACCTCACATGCGATAGGAGGCGTCTTTGCGATTCCGGTCAGCCGCCGACAGCCGGAGGAATTGGTTTACACTGATCTTGCGTTAATTCCAGGCTAGACCACCATTAAGTCGTGATTTTCAAATGGCCACGGTTACTATCAAATTCCAAAACAGTCTCAATTGGTATATTTGATTCACTTCAACCAGTTATCAATGCTGATTAAATCCGCTGAAAACCCAAGCCATTTTTATCATCTTAGTGGTTTTAGTAATCAAGTGTGTTCAGCGTGTCTTACCCAAATTGCACGCTAACCGTGCTATAATTCGCACACTTACGGTGACATATGGCACGCTACAAAAAAACAAAAGGTCTAGCGTGTTAAATTTGCCAAAACAAAGGCAAGTGTGTCCATCTTTGTTTTTTCAATTTAATATGCGCATATCCGTGATCTACGGCACGCTAAGCGTGTCATGCAAGCGTGTCGTGCGCGTGCTTTCACCTTTAGCATCAAATTCCTGTGGAGGGTCACAAATAACGTATTTCCATTCTAAAAAAATATGGCAGGATTACAGGAGCACTTTTCATAATTTCAAGCTTTTGACCCGGCCCTTAAGACACTTGAGGAAAATTATTGAAAGCTGCTAACCAGTTTATTCCTCAGAAATCTCTCAAAGGAAGAAAGTCCAGGTACAGCTATTTGAGTATGTGGTTGCATTCCTTTTAGCCAAACTTTTTTCAGGTTTAGACAAACCAGATTGTTTGGATTTTCCTGCTAGCCGGAACAAAAATCTGAAATAAGATTGATCCATACAGTAGCTGCCTGCTGCTATGATCTTCTTCTCAATTTAAACACATCATTTTTTATTTCTTTCTGCTAAATTAAGCGTCCTCTCGTAGAGAAATGGAAAGAAAAATAGCTCTTTAACTAGTAGTGGTTGTTCATACTGGGACTCGTTAACTAAAAAATATCCGGGATTTGATTCAAGAAAATTCAGTACACGATTGACAAAATTCTCAAGTGCTGAGAAGTAGGTTCTAAATACACACACACAATGGACACTATAGTTTTACTGTGAGAAAATGCAAGCATTTTCACTCCCTTGTGGATTTAGAGTTACAGGGGAGCTTAAGTTTAATATACTACAAATTTTATCCTTTAGCTGCATAGAACAAAGAAGGAGTGTAAATAACTTTTACCAGAACCAAACTTGACCCGCTGTGTTTATCAATGAATGAGCACAATCTTGCAATTGAAAAGCAGTTTTGTTAAATGGAATAAAAATCTGAAACCAGATTGAGATACCAATCCGAACGACCCAAGTGCAGAGGTGGATCGTTCAGATTGCAATCTAAGATTGGTTTAGTCCTTCATGGAACAAAAAATCAAATTTTGGATGGCAAAATCCGGATTTCGATTAGTCAAAAGGAATGCAACCTATGTAAACAGCCTTAGATGTCCCAACTCTAGTTCAACAAGCCTGAATCCCAGTCTTCTGTCTGTGCTTAATGTTTTTGTTCAATCATTCTTATTGACTGATCTGAGTTGTTTTAACTTTTTGTCATAGAGTTGACTTGCGGAAGACTATAGAATTCAGAGCATTTTAAATGTTAATTGTCTTCTCTGCAGTTTAGCCTTAATTCTTTTTGACCAATGACAGAGACGTTCTTGCCTTGTACAAACTTGTCCAGATCACTCTACGGCGTAAGGGTTTGCAGTGATGCGGTTTTGCTCGATTTTTGGTGCGGTTTTGCGGTGATTTTTATTTTAAGTTGCGGTATTGCGGTTTTACAAAACCAAGTGGTTTGCAGTATTTAGAATTTTTCGGCTAATTTCAATGGGGTTTGCAGTTTTCTCATGTTATTCTGTGCGGTATTTATATGTATTTCTGTGCGGTTTTGCGGTATTCATACCCCGCTTACGCCCCCCTTCTACCGAGTGACCTGGACAAGCTTATAGCTTGGTCTCAGACCTGGCAAATTAACTTTCTTTCCTCTAAGTGTTATGTGTTGTGTTACATCCAAGATTCTCATTGGTAATCATCATATCATGTTAAACTGATGGTTAGATGAGGCCCTAGAAGTAGTCGATACCTGGGATTATCATTACTGAAACACTCAATAGAAAAAACACACATATTAAAATGTTAATACATTTAACAACAACGCTAATAAGACACTAAGCTTCTTCAAATGAATCAAGGCTTATGCAAATACATCACTGGTTAGACCAACATTTGAACATGCATATCGGGAGCGTAGCATCCATATATGTATGGCCTGCACACGCCCATTGTACAGCTGAAATCTGGAAAAAAAATTTTTCCGTCGTATGCTCAGCATCAAATCCTTCTTCAGACCTGCCAATGATCTCTCCCACTAAAGTTTATTCTACTTCAATCTCTGCGTGACGCATATATAAATTTATAATGATTCATATATGATTAGAACACAATTTGCGCCCCAAAGTCCCTCCAGTCACCCATATCTTACAAGTTATTTGTTTCAAGGCGACCTTAAACTCAGCTCTAACAACTGTTTGAACTGGATATTGCGAGACGTAGAAGTAACTGAAGTAGAAGGAACTACGTCAACTACAGCCATATCTTGCTGCACGTACACTTATTTATGGGGTGCGTGCAACCTTGAAAATGCGCGTCGTACCGTATTTCAGCTTTCTCGGGTGATCGCACGACAGATGTAACAGAATAGCCTTTCTCCAGTGCTTGCTTCACTACCTCCTTTCCCGTTAGTCCAGTACCACCAAAAACAACCAGTTTTAATGGTGCAGGGCCGTTACCTCTCTCTTCGCACGCCATTTTGTCTTCGGAATACGAAACTCTCGTTCCCAGAGCCCTACATCGGCGATACATCGGTCTCTTTCGGCACTTTTAGGGGCAGTCAAAGTTAACAGTCAAAGTGGCCGAGCAATATGACGAGTTTTATATACGACGAAAAAAATGCTCGACAACAAAAAACGAATAAAGTGCAAATACTTGTCATATCTGAAAGTATCTTTAGCCACGAATAATAAAGTTCGCAGTCGGGACATTTCTTAGTAGTTTTTTGGATTTAAGCCAATTTACAATAAATTCAAGCGGGAACAATACAGAACATGACAGAAAACATCCTCGGAGACCCAGGGGCAGTTGGGGCAGATAGTTTGGGGCGAGGGAAAGTCTAAACGGGCGGAAAAATATGGCACGAAGAAATGTAAAGAACGGCGAGAAGAGCTCTTCTCGCCGTTCTTTACTTTTCTTCTTGACATATTTTCCGCCCGTTTAGAATTTCCCTCGCCCACACTATCTGCCCCTGGGTCTCCGAGGATGGACAGAAAATAATTTTTGAACATTAAATTAAATTAAAAAAAGAAAGGTCTAAACAATGTTAGGGAATCGTAGAAACCACGCAATAAGGCTTAAATGTTTCTTCGAAAATAATAACAAATGAGGACAACAACACTGAACACTGCTGAACAACAACGGCAAAATAATAAGCTTACTCTAAAATAAAAGTCATTTTGGCATGACATAAGATTTAAAGTAATAATTTCTTTGAATAATTCAGTGCAAAACCTTTGAAAAAGAGCTAAAAATGATTAAGAAGCTTCAATATAAAACAAAAAAAAGTTTTTTCCGTACCTGGATTAAAACTCGGAGTGCTTGACTAAAAAAAACCGATCGAGCAAAATGGCTTTTTAAAAAGTGACGCAGTGCGATTTTCCCGCCGCGAAACGCGGTGTCGCAACGGCCTCGTTGTCAGCTTGTCCTCTCACCCTGAAACGAGGCTGTTATCTGAACATTTTACAAAAAGTTTTCGAATTCCGCGCTACGTTGGCAGTACCCTGCGAACAGAGTCTCCTTCATCCTCGGAGACCAGGGGCAGATGGGGGCGAGAGAAAGTCAAAACGGGCGGAAAAATATGGATAAGTGTAGGAAAGATCGAAGCGACTCTGCTAGCAGGGTACGTTGGCAGGGGCGTTCCTAGGCATTTTTTGTTTGTAAGCCTTGGTGGAGCATATTGAGGGGAGATACAATATTAAGGTACAATATGGGCGCATTAGCGCCCAGATCTCAAGGCGCGACATGCTAACAGGGTCCGGGGACATGATTTCCAGGAAAATTCTGAAAATTCAAGTACTCTGAGATGTAATCTGGTGCAATCTGGGCGCTTAAATTAGTTGGCAAATCCCAGGATTTCATATTGGACAAGAAATAATGGAATATTTAACAAAATGCAGCCAGTTGTGGTTGTTGTCAACAACAGCAACGACTTAATGACCTGACTAGCGACACAATAGTTGCAAACATATCTGAAATCTTGGCGGAGCTCAAAGAAATTCGAAAGCTAGACGTCTGCTCTTTTTGGAGCAAAATTCGCGAATCACGGCTTCTACATTGATGGGTATGTCTTTGTAAGCCTGAATGAGGGCAAGTGCTGCGAGTCGCTCTGTTTTCATCGTGGAACGTAAGAACGTCTTCACTCTGCGCATCGTGCTAAAAGATCGTTTGAGGGTAGCATTTGACACTGGCATTGTCAGGAGGATGGCAATAATTGTGATCACGTTGGGATAAAGGTCCGGATTAGCGAGCTGGAGACTGTCTCTGTGAGATGTGTCACTGGTTTTTCATCAGTTGAATGAGACCACTTTGTTTGCCACATTAAAATTTCATTGTCAAAGTCTCTCTTCTTTGAAAGATCGGTTGTAGGTTTCATAAAGCCTATCTTGTACTCCGCTGTTGAAAGCATTCAGCTTTGCTGGAACAAGATATTGCCTTAAGAAACGATTCTCTTGTGACAGAAGCCTGCTAGTTAGTTCTTGTACGAGGTGATCGACCAACGGGAAAATACACGGCTCTTTGCCAGTACATCTTTTTTTAAAAAATATATTTATCATACCGTCCAAATCACTCGTAAGCCTGTGCCGATTTGCTTAAAGGCAGGTACGCACCTGGTTGGGCATAAATAACAACAACAACAACTTTATAATTATGGTATTTATTGCGAGGATTGTTACACATTCACGCTTTGAAAGTGATAGTACTGAATTGTGAAAGGGAAAGTCTTTGAAAAGTGAAAGTTTTGAGAGTGAGAGCATCAGAGCATATGAGTGTTTTTGGAACTCGGAAGTGGCCTAACGTTTAGGGGGGAGGGGGGTGCAGTTGGGGATCGATTCTCCGATTTCTGATCAATATAATTTTTTATGCCCTATATTTCTGAGTTTGTTATTGCATAACCCACAACTTCAAAAGACAAACTCGTCGCTGCAGAAATTAGCTACGTTTAATTGATTCTGAAGATTTTTGTGACTGACTATTGCCAGCTCAAGCTTATTTAGATGAAGCATGTTCTGACCTCGATTCCGTTGTTGGTTACCCTGCGAGCAGAGGCTACATTTTCGCGGTATACCGCGAAAATGTAGCCTCTGCTCGCAGGGTAGTTGTTGGTGGACTTAAATCACATATTCTTTTTTCAGAAAACCCTTGATACGGTTAAGCTCCCAGTGACAAGACCCATCTCGTAGTTCTTCTCTTATGCCTGTGCCCTAGCATGCTAACTGAAATTAGTGTACAAAAGAATGTTAAGGGGAAACCTTCTGAGCTCCGAACGCAAATCATGTGGCGATCTGCAAGATTGCCTCCTGATAGAGAAGGTTATGCCGAATTCGGGACAGTGTTGTTTAAAAAATGATTGCCTCAGCTAAGCAAGATATATTCACCATTCAAGATCCAGGAAGAGTCAGGAAACACAAGAATTCTCAGTTTTCAAGACGTTAGCCGAGAAGTGTTCAACTCTAACACCGGCCAAAGTAGTCCATCTGGCTCAGCTCTGATAATTTGTCTGAATCATTTGTTGAACTCTTTGCAGACGAAATCGTTAGAATTTGCAATGATTAGTTACTACTTAAATCTGCGCAGTCTTGGACCTGAGTCCTGTCTTAGCCATTCAGCTGCTTAGTGAATTCAGACCGGTCACTGATAAAGTGATCTCATGTTGTATACAAAAAGAATCTGTGCGCAACTTGAGCCCGCAAAAGTTCCATCACTAATATCGAACTTTTAAATTTCAGTCCATTTTCGCGCATACGTCGGTTCTCTATCCAAAGTCACAAAAGAAGCAGTTGCAGCACAATTATCTGATCACCTTATTGGCAAGGAGGGTAAACTGACTAAACTTGTACAATTTCATTCAGCGGACAGTGTATAAAGGGGCCATTACTGATGAAACCACCCAATTTGAAAGATATAGCTGACAACAAATCTAGTGCGACCACTAGCATGAGCATAATATCCATCGGTACTTAGGCGTCAAAGAATTATCTGAGATGAACTCTGGCTCTGTATTACGAACTTCAAATAATCAGTTGCTTAGAGAAATTCAACTTTGTCAAATTATTAACCTGCGTAGCAAGCGTCGAAAGGGATCAGGGATCGCGAGAAAGGGAAAAAGGGAAACATTGGGGAGAGAAGGTGAAGGTTCCCTTTCCCGTTTTCTCCCTCTCCCCCTCCCCTTCTTGTACCTACCACGCAGGTTATCAAATTATGGGATAATTTGAGGGCTTTGTTTTCATCTTGTTCTTTCTGAATATTCTAACCAATCGGCATCCCATAATATCAGAAATGTGATGTCATCATTTCTCTTCTCTATCTGAAAACGCAACGTTTGGCGATAGTGCATAGTCTGTATGTCGAGTCTTTAGGACCACATGTCCACATACTCTGTATGTTCGGTCCTAAATACTCTGTATTTAGGAAATACTCTGTACTTAGGACCATATGTCCACATACTCTGTGTTTGTTTGGTCATAAATACTCTGTAGCAGGACCGAAACTATAGAACAAGTGGAACAAATTACCATTTAACATCGGGCAATCATCATCAGTTACCGTATCTAATGCTTCGCTCAAGACTCACCTTTTTCAGGACGCATTTGATTTTTTGCATTTTTATCATTAACCCGAACAGCATCGGTACGACTGCTACTTGATTTACTGCCTATTAATAATATAGCTTTTTTTAACCAATTAAAAAGTACCATGGACAAATGGTGGCGCTATTTATTGAATGACGCTCAATAAATATTTATTCATTCATTTGTTATAAATTACAATTGCGTTCAAATGGTGACTCTGTGGTATATAATCAATAGATTTTGATCCACCTTGTTTGTTTCGTTTAGTCGTAATTATGATTGGCTGAAGCGAAACCGTAAACGTAAGTTATTTTTTTACCTAAGGTCGTCATTGAAAAGAGCAGTTACGTCTAATAGGCCTGTTTTGGAGGACGAATTTGGCCTAATTTCCTGTGCAACTTCGTAATAGCCAAACTCGCCAATAAAAGAAGAGAACGCGTACCCAGAACAATCCTATAAGTGCAAATCGACACAAAACTCGCAAACAGAACTGAAGTCAATCTCAATGCTCTTTTTCGCAAAGCAATGATTGCTGAGAATGCTAAACCTTTTTATTTTTCTTCAGAGATCCTTTTAGCAATCGCAGAGATGGAATAAGGAAACCAGCCTTAACTGTACAATTGCATTTTATACAATACAACCATAGGCAAAAAGTATTTGAAAGAAGAATGATTTAAAAATGACAGACACTTAATTAAATTCATGATTATTGATGCCCAAATTATTATCTAAACATATATTGTGATAATAACGATTTTGCAAATACCGATTATCATTTCTACCATAATTATCCATCCACTGAGTTATATTTTGATAACTGATAGACTCTTCATTTAAGTTTGTTTAAAATAATATCAAAAATATATTTCAAATTTATAAAAACAAAAAGAGTTAGTGCTGCAATATTTCTTATGTCCTGGGCACTTTTGAGAATCCAGCGATGGCAAATCCTTTTCTGTCGTATTCATCACTTTCCAGTGTCTTCAGCATAAACTCAGCAACATCCGCACAAGTGATTTCACCACTTGTCCCCGTATTACATTGCCCTTCTTCAACCTTATAGTTTCCCGATCGTTCACCTACAAAATTAAAGTCATAAGACGTGCAGTGAAAGCTCTCATAACGGACACTCTCGTAAGCGGACAGCTCTACTTCTGGTCGTCTTCATCAAACCCCATTTTCCTCAACTCCCATACAAACTCTGTATTTTTACAACCTCGTAAGCGGCTGGCTCCAATATTGTGGATACCTTCTTCACATTTGTCCACTCACAAGAGCCTCCACTGTAGTTGTTAATCCTTTAAGGTCAATATCTACTTACAAATTTCCAAGACTGATCTACAGACATGGTTGAGAGAATTTGATAAAAGATCAAAGCATTTTGTGATCATGTCATTAAGAATTAATAATTCTTGTAACCTTTTACCTTGATTATGTATTAATGTTGCCGTGAGAACAAATGATGTAGATCACTCTTTATTTACATACTTTACTTAATTGGGCAAGAACACATTAAATGAATGATAAGTAGTACAGATACATACATGATAAGAACATGATAAATATTTTGAAAAAAGGGAAAAAAAAGAAGATTAATGCATGAACAGGATACTTAGGCCCATGCAAGGTGTCCATCTAAGGAAATGAAAGAATTTGAAGCATATACAAGGGAAAAATAAATATAGAGTAATAAAGATAATAAAAAAGTCTAAAAAAAACCAATCTAATTTAGTGAATGGACAGTCACATGAGATGGATCACGTGCAGACCTGTAGGTCCACATCAAAAACTGTCTTAGGACTTGCAAATAGAGGCACCATTTCAAAGTAAGGGCAGTGAAACACAATAAGTTTGTTTTATCAACCGAGTTGATACCATCAACTTGCCAACATAATGTAAAGAACATTTTGAGGGCCAGCCCACCATTCAATTGTATCCAAGTTCTTGTGATAAATGATGCAAATGCATCATATTAACACCTAACATCACTTTTTTTAGCCATTCATGAATACAGAAGCTGCCTCTCATCCCTGCCTACCTTGGGGGAGATGGCTATGTGGCGTGTACCCCATTAGACATGCCCAGCAATGGAAAGCAGCAAGAGGTAGCTGTATAAGTCATGGGCTACAAACTTTTAGATATGAAATTATATCTAGTAGATGAACTGAGGATTCTGATACACTGCATTTACATACCAAGCATTAGCCGACATGGTCTGACAATTGTGTAATTCAATGCGCTAGGATCAGAATTCTCCAGCATTTTTTCCATGACTTCCATGTTTCTTATCACTCCATTAAGAAACAGTGGCTTTAGAATCCACTCCACAAACCAACTGTTATTTGGTCCAGGCTGGGTACACCATGATGTCACTGTTACTAGTCGCATAATTTTGTGCCTAAAAAGATCAGTATTGCATTAAGGGATCACTGTATGGAGCTACATACTCAGAGAGAGCAACTTCTAGTCAAGAGTAAGCCTGTTGACACCAAAACATCAAATTTACCATGTTTGGGCCTGCATTTTTGGGTGACTGGAGTTTGGAAATCCTGTTATACCACCGTCACTTGGAAGGTAATTACAATTGGCCATTGTAGAGACATTAAAACAGGTGTATACATGTATGTTTCCACTGGGAGAAAAATAGAGGACCATTGTGGACAGGTGGCCATTATTAGCGGTTTGACTGTGGCCTTAATTTGCGGGAAAATTGATCTAAAAATAAATGGTTCTGTGGTGAAATGTTGTGTTGCCAATACAACTCTTGGGGTCCTTGGCTCCTGTTGCAGTATTAATATTACAAGTATTTTGTGGAATAAAAGAGAAACAGTTACTACACAAAACAATGATTTCATAGGCTCAGCTATCTAATCTACATCAGTTCAAATTTATCAGTTTAAGTTCATAACATTTTACACAATTTGGATGGTGATTAGCAGGGTTACAGGACTATAATTGTCCCTGGTGAGTTTATTCACTTAACCTTCTTTATGTGAGCATGCAACTGATTATCCAACGATCATGAGAAAATGATGCATCAAGCCTGAAACTGGTTAGTTTCAGTGATAAATCAACATCGACTTATGCAAAGTTTATTTTGTAGTGTATATTAGGTATAAACCTGAAAGCCTAAAAAAATTCCAGTTATCCATACTAACCTCTTCATTCCCTCCATAATAGCATGCATTGACTCTGCATAGAAGGTTGTAGGGTTAAAAATGTTTGCATAAACTCCTAAACTGGACAACACAGCATCCTTTCCTTCAAGTGCAGCAGCAAAACTTTCAACATCACATGCATCACCTTTAACTAACTCTAAATTTTTGTCCCTGTTGATAAAAACAAAATATTACACCACTCATTGATGCTTTACGATGCTGTCCTAAGGTTTGGAGCGTCTCTAATACTTTTTGGGTAAGAAAATTCGGCACATATTTTTTGGGGTGGCATGATTTCAATAGGGATTTTTCAGGGTATTCAAAACAATCTGAAGATTCATGGTAGTACCCGCGTATGATAACTTCAGATGGTATGATGAAGAAAAAACGCAAACGTTAAATTTCTAACGTTTTTATTTTTCATTCTATATCATTAATTTAATGCCTTCTGGAAGGCTCGGAAATTCAACATAAGATTTCTGGGAGTTAATTTTTGGTTCAGGGATTCTTTGGGGCTATGATTTTTGCCCTAGCTTATATTTCCAGATCATCCCCATCACTTGAAATGTGCCGCAGGATTAGCTCAGTCGGTAGTGCGCTTGAGGTCATGGGTACGATTCCCGTGGTGAGACCAACACTCTTGGTCTTAAAATAACTGAGAAATGAAGGTACTACCTTTGCCCTACAAATGGCTAGACCTTTGCCTGGTTCGGATGACCATGTAAAATGGCGGTCCCGTCTCCAGTAGGAGACGTTAATAAAGTGTCCCCAATTAGCACTTTCGTGCTAAATACATTGACACTCAAATAAAGTGCATTTTTATTTTTTTTTACCCCCTCCCCCCTGCGCACCACACTTAACCAGGCTCTCTCTCTCACTCCAAAGGGATGAGTAAAAGAGAATCCTGAGAACAAAGTTGTCCTTATTACAAGTTGAGCCATGCCAAGTCCAAAGAACATCTGAGCCAATCCAAATTCAATGAGCAATTGATTCAGATGTCATACTTCACGTGAACACAATTCATAATTCACTGTATTCGATTTGGTTCATGGCATCTGAACTGGGCCCTTTAAAAAAACTTCCAAAATTTAGCCCCTACTTTTCTCTAAATGCTCTAGCGTAAGCCAAATCCAGCATCCCAAAAAATCTATTGGTCCTGTTGTTGTAAACTGATTTATATGATACACTGTTTTCCACATATATTCCCTATTCAGTAATTTTAGAGGCTTCCGATCGTATCGGCTGCAAATACCCAAGGACCATTTTACAAAATATGCGTGCTCATGCTGATCTGAAGATCAAGCCTATGTCGCAGACTTAATTTAACGCCGATAAGGTACCGTAAAAGTCCGAAAATAAGCCCCAGGGCTTATATTTTTCAAAGGCCCTTTTTTGGAGGGGCTTATATTCGGAGGCGCTTATCTACGGAGGGAAATTTGCCTTTAAAATCAATTGGGCTAGCCTTATAGTTGGAAGTAAATTTACCATTTTTGCTCTGTTTTACTTTGTATTTGAGGGCAATTTTCCAAGTACAAACCCCCGGGGGGCTTATATTCGGAGGGGCGAGTTAACAGAGGGTTTTTTGCGTTACCGGATTAGGGGGCTTATATTTGGAGGGGCTTATTTTCGGGTGTTACGAAAACTAAGACCCTCGAAAACTAAGACCTAAGACCTAAGACCTGTCTTAGTTTTCGAGATTACGAAAACTAAGACCCCCTAAAATCGAACCGTCGAAATATGAAGTCAAATTGTAACTGAAATAGGTCTGATCTGTCAAATCATATCATGTTCGATCCTTTCCACCGAGTTTTAGGTCAAATTTAACGGTAAATTTAGGGGTCTTAGTTTTCGTAATTACGAAAACTAAGACCCCTCCTAGTTTTCGTAATTACCAAAACTAAGACCCCTCTTAGTTTTCGTAATTACCAAAACTAAGACCCCCACCAAAACAATCTCTAAAATTTCTACAAAGCCGAATTACGACCGTTTGAAGACTATAATCCATAAGACAAACAAAAACTACTATCATACGCGTGCTAGACGATCCGCTTCTTCTCACAATTTGCAGACATACATTATCAATATTGTGGCTTTAAGAAGAGGATGAGAGCTATAGACTACCTACGTATTGTACACTGAACATATGCCTTACCTCTATAATTTTGGTTGTTTATCCTTAAAGTCATAAGATTGGTTTTCCACTGGAGATGGATTTTTGTCTTCATTGCGGGCTGACATGTCGCTGACATGTCGCTGCGACCTGAATGCCTGATCGCTAAGTGGTCAACGGCGTTACCGGTTAAACATCACACAAAAATACGGATTTTTTTTTCCTTTTCTGGCCACGTCATAGATAGAAAAGTGTTGTTATAAAGTGTTAAAAGGAGAATATGCTATATTACGTTTTTCTGGCGTTTGTTTTTATCGTTGCTGACAACGTTGCTGGTTGAGGGGTAGGGGTGGGGAGTAAGGAGAAATAGTCTGTGAGGGATAATCGCTCAAATCACTCATGAAATAATAATTAAAAAAACGAATGAGTGAATGAATTTCCTGTACTAGCTAAACATCGTCTCGAGAATTGGAGTTCTAATTTCAGAACAATAAAATAAACAAACAATCAATACAAAGTGAAGATTGCGTGACAGTAGGTGTCAGAGGTCAGGATTCCCGGGGTAATAATTTTAGCAAATTGTTAGCGGATCGTAGATCAGAACGCGTATGATAGTAGTTTTTGTTTGTCTTACGGATCATAGTCTTCAAACGGTCGTAATTCGGCTTTGTAGAAATTTTAGAGATTGTTTTGGTGGGGGTCTTAGTTTTCGTAATTACGAAAACTAAGAGGGGTCTTAGTTTTCGAAAACTAAGACCCCTAAATTTACCGTTAAATTTGACCTAAAACTCGGTGGAAAGGATCGAACATGATATAATTTGACAGATCAGACCTATTTCGGTTACAATTTGACTTTATATTTCGATGGATTCGATTTTAGGGGGTCTTAGTTTTCGTAATCTCGAAAACTAAGACGGGTCTTAGGTCTTAGGTCTTAGTTTTCGAGGGTCTTCGTTTTCGTAACACCCGCTTATTTTCGGAATTTTACGGTATGCTAGGATAACGTTCGTCTGCCAATCAGAGGCTACCGAAGATCATGCTTCAAAAGACCTAAAAAGGGGTTGCAAAACTGAAAAAATTGAACAACGAAAGGACTCAAAAGAGATAAGCTTTAAGCTTAAACTTATAAGAATTAATTGACAAAATTGAACATGAAATGACTCACTGAATGTTTAGTTTCTCGGGTGTTCTCACTATAGCTGTGACATGATGTCCTTTATCCAATGCTTGCTTAACGACCTCTTTTCCTGTTCTTCCTGTGGCCCCAAACACGACCAATTTAAATTTTTTGGAGGGAGAAATCTGGTCACCCGAAGCCGCCATGTTTGACTCCTACGTCACGCCATTGTCCCCTATTTCCCAGGCCCTTGTCCGAATGAAGGCGGTGTCACGGTAAAAAGTGTTCCGGCGATATGGGCATCCCCATTCCCAAGAACCCAAATCGCTAAGGTAATATGAGAAGGGGATGCCCATATCACTAGCGTTTTGGAAATTGGGATGCCCGTATCACTGACAGCGGCAAAAACCATAGCCTCCCACGTAGAGGAACCCCTTAGAACTCGCCTTTCGCGAGGGGCAAAATCGGGGGAAAAGGCCATTTTTTTCAGGGACGTGCTTTCCTACCGGCGTATGCGTACGGGCAACTACGCCTCTCCACGTGATCTCGTACCCAGATCTGGGAACGCGATTACTCTGCACGAGGATGGACAAATAAAGTCGGACTTCTTTAATCACTGTTTCTAGAAAAATTTGACCTCTAACTGGTGCGTGCACCACGGACCGCGAGATTTGACTCACTTCTATTTTTTCTTTTTTGCACAATCCCCAACAAGGAAAAGGACTGTTCAAAGATCCTGGTTAAAAGAGGTCAAGAGGACAGTAGTCTTTTTCTAAAGTCTGCAAGTGTTCTTTAGTAGGGTTTCTAAGCCGGACCAGCATATAATTTTTCGCAAAAATGCTTACAATCTATCGTACAGCACTTTTTGCCACATCAAACAAACGCGTCATTCCGCTCAGACTTCACAAGTAAGTTCGAGACACGACACACAGCATCAGTCCAGTTGACAATTTATTTATAATGAAACAGTCCAGCATGCAGATACAACAGCTAACCCTCAGGACAGACTTGATCAACAACCATACAACATAGATACAAAATTATACTTTCGGCCTCGTTTCCAATCCCCCTCCTCTTCCCTTACTCAAGGAAAGAGGAAAGTCTCGAGAAACGAGGATGAAAACTCGTGCTCTTTGACCAAACGATAAAAGCTCGTTTTTAAAAGGAATGCAATTTTTCGGACGAGGTTCACTGAAATCTGAGCAGTGATAGGTACGATGTCAAATTGCGCGTGTAATCTTGCCGCGATTTTAGACTGATTTTACATGAACCGTAAAATAGAGAGCAGACTAATACAAACTATTATGCACTAATTACATTATCTTCTTTTGTCTCCTTGATAGTTTTCCAGTATAACATATCTCTCTCTAAACTGTGTTAAATTTATCAAGGGTCATCAGAGTATATATGTATTCTTATGTCGAAGGGTATTAACAAGATACATGGTAACTGGTCCACTGGTCTTGCCAAGTGCATGGCAAAGAGAAGGGTAAACGAATAGATATCGAGAAAAAAAAACGTCGCATTTCAAGATCAGTATAAAAGGTTGGACGAAACCATTGACACATGTAAAATTGATCAACTCATATGAAACGGAGCGAATAAATGCTGTCTTCTTGCTGAAAAACTACCATTCATCATCTACTACCGAGGGGAAGGCGACCATAAAACAACATGTACGCCTGACACTTCAGCACTTTTGTCTCCGGCACTGTGCTGACGCTTGAGTCGCTGACATGAAACCACTGACCAGCCGATGCAGGCTCATGAAACGTCCTGGAATTGCGTTGTTTCTTATATGCATCTGTAGTCCACATGTTAGAAACAAAATCAGTTAGGTCCTTCATGCTAGTGATTTTGTCAAACAGTCCTTTCGCCGGTGGTTCGCTGACTTTGACATAAGCTGTGTAGTGACCGCTGTTCATATTACCACTGTGTTGAACTACCCCATACAAAGAGTACAACACTTGTCCTTCTGAGTCTGCGCGGCTCTGAAAAAAAAACCCATTAAAATTCGCCACGTTCTAAAAGGAGTGAAAAACTGAGTACAATATATGACCACAAAGCTCCTTGGGTTCGTTTGGTGGGACACCATGAACGTCAACTAACATGGAGTACTAAAAGTACTGTGTTCATAACTGCAATAACAGTTTCAGAAATGCAACTAATCTTCACTATTCCTAAAGACCCTGCTGCTGCTTTAACAGGTGGCTTGCTGCTGTCCGCCATGTTTTTCCTGTCCCTCTAAACGATCCCTAGAGCCTTTGCGGCCATTCCTAACTTGAAAACAAACCGGACACAATGTTCAGATTGTTCACAACGTTCTGTGAGAAAGAATTAGTGATTTGTCAACGTATTTGCAAAAAGGGCGAGAATAATGTGAATAAACAAATAATCTACGCATGTTACTTGCTTCAGTCAATAATGCAGTACACCAATTCCTCGCTTTCGATTTTCTCTTGTGAATAAACGACAGGCTTACCGGGCAAAGTCCATACATAAATCGTGGACAGGAATCTCGCGTTCCATAAAAGGGAATGATTTCATAAGAATCTTTGGGTCATCTGTCAGCATACATGTATTTATGTGGCAGCCGCCATAGTCTCAATAGACCATTTTACAGTTATGAACTTCGTACCCTAACCTCTAAGTGAAAGTGAGACTGAGGTTGACCTTGTTTTGATACGAACCTATTTCACTCTTTGATCAAAATTATGCTAAAAAAAATACTAGTCAGCATTGAATTGAATAGAATTGAAGATCTCCATTGATAAATTAAGGCAAATACTCGCAGGCACGAGTGCAAGTTTACAATGCAATAAAGGACAAGTTATTTATAATAAAACAAGTTTTCTTACAAACATTAAACTAAATAAAGTTAAAAAGGCATCTATAAGAGCAACATGGATTAACATCGTAAAGAAGGAAGGGTTATATCAAACCAAGGTCAACTCTGGCCTCAAATATACTTGTAACTGTGAAATGTACCATTCTCACTTACCTTTCCATTCCTACTGCAGAAAGGCGCTAGATTCAGTTGTAGAGGGAACTCCACCTGTTTGGTAAGTTTCCGTAGCGTGAAGCGGGCTTGTTGAAAGCGTTTGAGATGAAGAGTAAGCACTGGAGGAGCAAGTGAGATTAGCAGCTGTTTGGTGGCGACTGTGTACACTGTTTGTTGTTTGGTTTCCTTCTTCTTGGCAGCCTTAGCACCTTTACACTCATCTGGAGCAAAAATAAAAATGGAAAGTAAAGGGAAGGTTATACCAATGCAGCCATGAATACTCAGAACGGTTTTCAATTACGTCTGACTGATTCATAGGTTATGATTTGATCAAAAAGTCAAAAACCCACGGTTGTGGCGTAATTTGTCATCCATGATATCAATAGGTAATCAAATGTTAAACTCCTGAAATAGGAGAATAATTTAACTTGGGCTTTACGTTTATTTTTATTTTTTGCTTCCCCCCCTAATTTTATTCGTTACCATTTGATTACACATACAAACAAGGCCACCTGCAACCTCGCTTCAATTTAAGGCCAAGATACTCTGTTCGCAGCTCTCAAATGGTCTGTTAAGTTACAACCTTGTTTCTTCAGCAAAGCCAAAGTGTTCACTCTGTTCAAGGTAATACACGCAAACAACCGTAACAACGAATTAGTACTCGAGACTAATGGTAGCTGGCGATGGGTACAGAAAAACACGGGCGAGTCAACCTCATTTGGCTTAGATTTTCTTGGGATAGAAGAGAATTTCAAAATAGCGTGGAAAACAGATGCCAACACTGGTTTCCAAGCGAAGTGACGTTTGAGGAACGAACGCAGAAATTCCATAGTGATGACGTGTCACAACCCAGATCAAACGTCACTTCGCGAGGAAGCCAGTGTTAACATCGCAAAATGTTGGCTGTTTTCACAGGCTAAAGAAAAAGTGGACGGACATTTTTTTCAGCCACCAAACAAACCAATTAAAACCCAAGGAAATCACAAAGCTATTAAAATCAACGGTAAGTTGTACACCACTCCATGTAAGGTGACCCTGCAAACACGATTTATATTTACCATCATCGCTGTCACTGTCTTTATCATCAGCGCTTCCGTCGTTGCCGTTTACGTTGGATCCCTTTTTGTTCTTCGATCTTTGCGCCCGCTTGCTGCACTCCTCACAAGCAAACTTATTATTTCCATCTAACAGTTCTGGGGCGCAAAACTGGCTTAAACAAGACATGACAGAGCATTCCCCTGGGGAAGGGTGATAGGAAGGCTGTAATGTAAGAGTGCTGTTAGCTTCTGAATCGTATTCATGTTCTTCCTCAGAATCAGTTTCAGGTTCATTGCTTATGTGTTCATTTAATTCTGTTTTCTCCTCTGCTTCGTTTTCTCTTTTGTGAACAAAATCTGAAACATTCTGTTCGTTTGCACTAATTTTACTCTCGATTGTACTATCTTGATCTGCTGTCACGTGATCTGTAACATTTTTGCTTGTTTTTGTTTCCAATAAATGTTCTCCTAATTCGTTTGAAGAACTTTTCATTGCTACACTTGTTGGTTCGTTAACAGTTGTAGTCAAACCTTCAGAGTTATCTCTAGGTATATCATTTGCTGAAGTAATATTTTCATCCTTGACTGCAAGGCTATCTCTTTCTCCATCTTGAAAGGTGCCATCATTCGACGGTTTTTCTGCGGAACTAATATTTTCATCCTTCACTGCAAGGTTATCTCTTTCTCCATCTTGAGAAGTGCCATCTTTTTTGGACACTTCATTAGAAACACTTTCCGTATGAAAATCCTCGTCGTCTCTCTTTATACTCATATTTACAGTCAACTGATCCATACCTTCAACTATTTCATTTTCACTCGAAAGACATTGGTTATCATCATTGTCTTGTTTAATATCTGGTTCATTATCTACAAGCCGGACTTCTTCCTGCTTTGCATATTCCGTATTCTCTGTTGTCAACCGTTCCACGAAAGCTGTTGGGCTAAGGTCTCGTTCTTCTGTTTTATCTGCATTTCCTTGCAAGCATTCAGGACTTAAATGTGATGAAATTGTATTTTTGTCCTCATCATCTATCATGTCTACCGAGGGAACTTCAGTCTCAGTATCACGTGTTTCATGCTCGTTTTCTTGATCGTTTTCGTGCAAATTTGCGACGTCCTTTTTATCTATTATTTCGTCTAAACACTTAGGACTTTCTGTTACGCCTGC